TTGGGTACCTCTGTCCCATTGGTGTTTCAACCGTGAAGCAGTTGTGTTTGCAAGGCTGTGTTTCGGTTTGAAGGGTGGGATATTGCAGTGAATGTACTGGGTTCAGAGGAATAACACCTGAGTCCTCAGCAATGGCAACGCATGGGGGGTATCATGGGCGAAACAGTATACTCTGTTATGTCCATGGTACTGCTCATGTCTATAGGCGACGGTTATCACTTTCTGTCAGGTGTGCTGTCAGCTTGTTTGCCACTCTAAGTTGTATAAAAAAAAAATAATATTTTTATGATATTAATGTATGATTGAAACAATTATAAAGGGTTATGGTTATACCGGCTCTTATGAATTGAGTTATCGCTGAAGTGAAGTAGAAATTTAAGAAATTTTCTCGTGATATTATCATTCTCACACTGAGATGATAACGGCTGACCGTTAACTATCCAACTGCTAAACATAAGCCATCCCTATAAGGGGAGTTTTGCCAGTAACGCTACGCTTTGGCAGTTGGGTTGGAAATTTCAGTTTAGTTTTTTAGGGACGCTGCTGCCTATCCTTCTACTATTAAGTTCTCTTAGTCGACTCTTACGACACGGGAGAGGGATGATAGGATTGTTAGAAATGAGGTCTAATAGCCCTATTGCTAGCAATACACCCTCTCAGGTCGACCTCCACGCGGTTCCTTCTGGAAACCATCGTGGTTAATTCTTGTTGAATTCATCATGGTGCGCCAATTGACCTGCATTCATTCTCACCTGTCATCTTCCACTGGTGCCTCGTCGGTGTATACCGATAGCGCGGGCGGGGTTACCATTCCATTTTTATACATTAACAAAAAGACTTATGAAACCCATGAAATAAACGAGTGGCACATTCTATGCCGGGCTCACACGGCCATTTTTAATTTTCCGTTATTAGATTTTTATTTGAATTTCCTTTATTTATTCATGCGTCAATGTCTCCGTCTTAATGTGCTAAAGATAATGATTGCATACTGTTTTCTATGATAGTTTAAAATTAAAATGTGGTTTTAAGATATATTCACAGTAACACCGGTACTAATACCCATTTTATTACTGGGAACATTAATATTTCTATCATTCAACTCTAGTGATTTCTTTGGCGTTTCTATTATTAGACTTTAAAAAGAAATAAAAATGTGATGACAACCCTAGCTTCGTAACTTTTGTTGCTATGTACTCATTAAGCGCCTATTGTGTCCGCGGCCTATAAGAATGTGACAACCCTAGCTTCGTAACTTTTGTTGCTATGTTCTCATTAAGCGCCCTTTGTGCCAGCGGCCTATAAAAATGTGACAACCCTAGCTTCGTAACTTTTGTTGCTATGTACTCATTAAGCGCCCTTTGTGTCAGCGGCCTATAAGAATGTGACAACCCTAGCTTCGTAACTTTTGTTGCTATGTACTCATTAAGCGCCCTTTGTGTCAGCGGCCTATAAGAATGTGACAACCCTAGCTTCGTAACTTTTGTTGCTATGTACTCATTAAGCGCCCTTTGTGTCAGCGGCCTATAAGAATGTGACAACCCTAGCTTCGTAACTTTTGTTGCTATGTACTCATTAAGCGCCCTTTGTGTCAGCGGCCTATAAGAATGTGGCAACCCTAGCTTCGTAACTTTTGTTGCTATGTACTCATTAAGCGCCCTTTGTGTCAGCGGCCTATAATTCGCCATTCCGCGTAACGTGAGTCACTCACTAACTAGTAACCACAATTAGTTGCTAAGCCCACGCGGCGCCCTAATTGTAGACAGTTATACGGCACACTGATTACTGCTTGTATACGATTCGCATTGGATGCCCATTTCGTGTATACTCAAGGTCCAAATAGAAAGTTTTTTTTTTATGGAATGAAAATGCAATGTACCATAAACCTCGTTTATGGTACAATGCATTATATATATATATATATATATATATATATATATATATATATATATATATATATATATATAAGCTTACCATCAAGGGGGCCCTCAACTTGTTTGCTATTTCAAGTTGCATAACAGAAAAAAACGTCCTACATTGTATGCTAGGAACGTGTTAATTACTATTAATGTATGTATGTTACCATCAATCTCTATAATTCCGTATTCTATACAATTTCCAATATTTATTTACATTGCTGTCGTTCTAAAGGTTGACTGGGAGAAAATTCTATATAGTATTAAGTCTTCTTTTAGTACCAAAAATTTTTTTTGTAATGTGGTCAATTTAGATTAAATAAATAAATACTTAAGCAATGTATAGAATATTAAATATAATTTATTTTATTTTACCTAGATATTCTATACAATTATCGAATATGCAGCCGATGTAATAGACGATAGAAGGAAGGGATACCATTGATTTATTATCAACGATATGAACAATGTTGGAAAAAATAAAAATAAATAAAAACAGCCAAAAAGAACTGACTCTGGAATTACTAGTTAATAAAGCATTATGATTTTATGACTTATATAAGTAAGCCAAACACATAAGTAGATATTTTTTGTTAATACTTCAAACAAATTTCAACTTTAACTTCCCTAAGAATATATAATAAATTTGAATAATCTATCTATCTATATACTTATAATAAATCTGTAGAGAGGTCAATTCTGTACATGAAATATTGTTCCAAAATAACCATCAGGGGGTGATTAGTGATCGATACTGATGCCAAAAATGCAATCAGTAAAATGTTCGTTATAGAAACAAAAACTACTCGACGGATTTTAATGAAAATTTGCTTTTCATCACGCTACGATCAATAGGAGCAGAGCAGTGTAGGGAAATGTTGGGAAAACGGGAGAAGTTACTCCATTTTTAAGCTTCCGTCGCGTGTGCAGCCTTAATGGCCACTTTAAAATGTAAAAATGTCCACCCATACGACGCTGGGACGGGCCGCTAGTATTTGATAAATTTGATTGTAGTAATTCTTAAAATATATTTACACATTGTCGCTGGACCATCAGGTACTCCCTATAATACCTGAGCGATGTATCATCCATTACTAAAGTATGTAAAGCATAATAATATTCATACATTACCTGGACGTCTCAGATATTCTATATATGGCCTGGATATAGTATTTTATTATTATATTAGCCATTAACTGTCCACTGCTGAACATAGGCCTTCCCCATGAGGGGAGTTTTGCCAGTAGATGCACGTTTGGCAGGCGGGTTGGCAACCACAGTTGGTTAACCAGAGTTAGTTAGATGTTGAAATGAAACGAAATGAATTTATTTTGCTACAATGCAGGTAATTTTAGATGATAGAGGTTTATATTTCCCCTGTACATTCTGCCTCTATGTCGGCGTGCAAATTTTATCAATATAAGAAATTTATATATATATATATATATATATATATATATATATATATATATATATATATATATATATATATATTCTACATTATATATCCTTTCATTTGTCATACAATGTATTATTATTATTTATTACAGTAAACGGAAAATAAAATCCTGTACAATAGTTGTCGAAATTAATAAAATATTTCAACAAACTGTGATATTAATTAGTGTATAAGAACAGAAGCATCAATGGTATCTCTAGTGTAGGTTGTGAAGTGCATTTGTGTTTTTAGCGAAATATTCATTAATGGTATAAAACCCAATACATAACAGTCAATCTTTAAGCTTACGTTTAAACACTGTTTTAAGAGAGATACTGCTGTCCATCTCTCGACTATTAAATTCCCTTAGACGCCTCTTACGACACTAATGGGAAAGGAGCGAGTGGTCTATTCTATGCCGAGACTATACGGCAACGGCTGGGTATTGTATGGAATACCTGAATTATATACATTGCCGGTAACATATACAATTATTGATGCAACCTTGTATTATATGACACTTGTAATAAATATGTGCGTATGCAAATTTCACGTGTTACTGATAGTAATATGCTGGTCGACACCATAAAACGAATATCTAAGTGTCTCTATTACAGATACCTAAATATTCACTTTGTATATATATATATATTTCTCAAAAAGGGTTAACGTCGGACAGGCAGCCGGTCGTAAAACTAAAAGCTAAATCTTTTTGTAATATGAATAAAAACATATTACGCCGACCCCAAGGGTAGGAAGATGATGAGATATATATATATATATATATATATATATATATATATATATATATATATATATATATATATATATATATATATATATATATATATATATATATATGTGTATGTATATATATATATATATATATACACACACATATACACATACATATAAGGACTTTTTTAAGAAACAATAATTTTAGAAACACTTTTATTGATTTCAAATTAATTACAGAGAAATAGAAAATAGGAATGTTAGCGCTGATAGTTCTATTCAATCTGCGCAGTTTTTCTGTTCATTGAATGTGAATTTGCTGTAACATTGACGTCAATGGTGTTGACGGCAATGTAGAATGGAAACTGTTTTATGATTAAAAGCAGTTTAAAATTTTTTTATACAACTTATAATAGCAAACAAGCTGACGGCCCACCTGATGGAAAGTGGTAATCATCGCCTATAGACATGAGTAGTATCACGGACATAACAGAGTATACTGTTTCGCCCATGATACCCCCCATGCGTTGCCATTTCCGAAGACTCGGGAGTTATTCCTCTGTACCCTGTAAATTCACTGCCATATCGCATCTTTCAAACCGATACACAGCCATGCAGACACAACTGCTTCACGGTTGAAACACGAATGGGACAGAGGTATTGGGTACCTTGGCAAACGACTTTTGTACAAAGTCTCCCTCCCTCTCCAGTATAACAGTACCCAATGTTAGTTATTTAGATTACACGGTTGATTTAAGATGTATCAACGTACAAAGTACTTCTTTATACTGTGATTGTACTGTGAACATACATTTTTCTATTCTATTCATCAGAAGCATCTTGACAAACCATCGTGTTAAACCACTATACTACCGATTTTGTCAAACTGTAACACTACTATCTTTCCACAGAATGGTCTCCTGTCATCCCTGCCATACTTGGGCAAGTATTTGTGCGCGCTCGCGTCTTCCGTTCTGGCGGACTCGCTGCGCAAGAGTGAGAAGCTCTCCACCACCGCTACCAGGAAACTGTTCACCGGCTTCGCTGTTGGAGTTCCAGGTATGATTGTACTAGCTTTTAAAATCATGGTCAAGATTTTAAATCTCTGTAATTGGAAAAGTTTCTGGTTTAAATTTGGAAGCCCTTATTCTATTCTGAAGTTTCTTAGATCCTAAACTGACGATATGATTTAAAAACAGTTTTTTTTTTTATTTGAATTGTGTTATTTTTTTTTAAAGTATGTCCCGTATCATCATCATATCAGCCTTTAACTGTCCACTGACGGACATAAGCCTCCCTCTAAGGGGGTTTTACTAGTAGTTGCTATGCTTGGCAGGCGGATTTGCAACCACAGAGATGTTTTAAGAGGGACACTGCTACCCATTACTCGTCTCTTACGACACCCACGCGAAAGGAAGAGGTGGCCTATTTTATGCCGGGACCACACGGTTTTGTGTATACTAGAAGTTATCCCTCCTATATCCCTTATCCCCACTTGTTTGCAATTGTTTCTAGTTGTATAAAATATACATGTTGTAATTGCAGGTATTATGATGTTGGCGCAAGCGTACTTCGGCGAGGACCGGGTGTGGTCCATCGCGATCTTCACGTTGGCGCTGACCATCAACGGCATGGTGACCGCTGGCTACCTCGGCAACGGTCTCGACATCGCGCCCAATTTCAGTGGTATGTGCTACCAATTTCCCATCAATTTAATCATGTCTCCAGGAAGAACCGCATGGAGGTCGACCTGATTGGGGAATTAAACTAGTGGTCCTATAATTATCTATTATTAAACAAGCCTCTTTCCAATGTTGGGGGAAGGGATTTTTAGTAGTGTAGATCATCAGTCCCATTGCTAGCAATATATCCTATCAGGTCGACCTCTTCTTGGCCCCCAGGAAACCATCTTGCCAAATTCATGGGGGATTAGTTACGATGTGCCAACGGACTTGACTTCATTCGCTTATTCGGCTCCCCGTGCTAGGCTAGGTTACTACCATACCATTATCATTCTTAAAAAAACCCTGCTTCAATATAGGGAATTAGTCTGGGTAGTCTGAGCAATTTTTGTATGTGTGTGTGTATGTATATATATATTATTGGATGAAGATGGAATGGTAACCCCGCCTGCGCTAATGGGATACGCTGGCGGAACACCAGTGAAGGGTGCTAGATGAGAATGAAAACAGGCCAGTTAGCCCATCATGATGAATTCATCAGGAATTAACCATGATAATTTCCAGGGGGAACCGCGTGGAGGTCGACCTGTGGTTGGGTATATTGCTAGCAATGGGGATTCTCAGTCTCCATTACTAACAATCCCTTTCCCCTCTGTTTGTATATATTATTATCTATATATTAGTGCGCCACTTATTCTTTGTCTTTTTCTCTATGTCCTCTACCCAAAGGTTATCTGGAAGAGATTGCTTAGCGATAAGACCGCCTTTTGTATCATTTATCATTAAAATTTACTTTATTCATTGTTTTTTTTTAAATGGTGCAATGTAAATAAATAAATACCCTCGGGTATGTCCCTAACGGTTCGTTGTCCAGCTCTTGATAGTTCTAGCTAAACAATAAGAAAAATGGTGTAATTGAGTGACATTATGTAGAAAATTTATCACTACTCGGATTTAGGTTTCAACCGACTTCAAAAAAGGAACAGGTTCTTAATTCAATTATATATATTTTTTAAATGTTCGTTACTTTATAAATTGTAAATATATATTTATTTCTCTCACAAAATAACAACATAATAAAACTTAAAGCTACATAGGTTACAATTTAAAACAATCTTTGTGAGAGACTGGTGTCGAAACTTTTTAATGGATGATAATGGAATGATAACCCTGCCTGCGCTATCGGTATACACTGGCGGGGCACCAGTGAGGGATGATTGGTGAGGATGAATTTGTAGGGCAGTTAGTTCATCGTGACGAATTAAACGATAAATTAGACACGATGATTTCTATGGGGAACCACGTGGAGTTCGACCTGATTAGGTATATTGATAGCGACGGGGACTAATCTCCCCATTACTAACAATCCCTTCTCCTCTAATGATATGATCTCGGTACTAGAATAGTTTGGCAAAATTCTCTCTGTTGCCAGTAATTTTTATTTTAGCTAATTATTGTTTGTGATTTGCCAGGAACAATCTTCGGCTTGGCGAACACACTGTCTTCATTCGGCGGCTGGTTGTCCACGTACATGGTTGGAGAGCTCACCAAGGAAAACGTAAGGAAATCTTTTTCATATATCATAAAAATGGCTAACAATTATACGTCCCGCCATCTGGTGAGCGGTTATAATACTATAGAGAATGAATTAATACTAATCCATACAACAAAGATATTGCTGATATCAAATTGAAATTTTTATTTTAGGGATAGATTTTTTTACAACACAGGGGGCAAACGAGCATGCGGCTCACCTGATGGATTTTTTTTTATACTACTTAGAATGGCAAACAAGCTGACTGTCCACCTGATAGAAAGTGGTAACCGTCGCCTATAGACATGAGCAGTACCATGGACATAACAGAGTATACTGTTTCGCCCATGATACCCCCCATGCGTTGCCATTCCTGAGGACTCAGGTGTTATTCCTCTGTACCCAGTAAATTCACGCCATATCCCACCCTTCAAACATAAGTGACTACCGCCGCACATGATCACCCACAACACCAAAGGAATTGCAGGTGTGCTGCCGGCCTTTTAAAAAGGAATATGCTCTTTTCTTAAGGGTTATGATGTCGTATCGGTTCGGAAGTACTGCTGCTGGAAGTTGATTCCAAAGAGTGGTTGTGCGTGGAAGAAAGTGCCTTGGAAAACGCATGGTGGAAGACCGCCACTCGCCCAGATGGTTGGGATGAATTTAGAGAAATGGCGTGTCGGAATTAACCTCATTCATCATCATCACTTCAGCCATTTTCCACTGCTGGATATAAGCCTCCCCCATAGACGGCTATAAAGAACGGTCCAGGGCCACCTGCGTCCACTGACTCCTTGCAATGCATTTCAGGTCGTCACTCCATCTAGTGGGTACCTCATTCCTTCAATTGTATTGTAATCAATGTATTTATATAAATGTTCGCTGCTGAACGTGGTATACGTCCCACTTAGAGGGTTTTGCCAGTAGTGGTCACTCTTGGCAAGCGGGTTGGCAACCGCAGTAAAGCTTTTAGAGATGTTTTAGGAGGGACGCTGCTGTCCATCCCTCTAACATTAAGTTCTCTTAGTCACCTCTTACGACACCCACGGGAAGAGAAAAGATGGCTCTTAATGTATTTACCAGAGGGAGACTTTGTACAAAAGTCGATTGCTTGAGTACCTCTGTCCCATTCGTGTTTCAACCGTGAAGCAGTTGTGTTTGCATGGCTGTGTTTCAGTTTGAAGGGTGCGATATGGCGTGAATTTACTGGGTACAGAGGAATAACACCTGAGTCCTCAGGAATGGCAACGCATGGAGGGTATCATGGGTGAAACAGTATACTCTGTTATGTCCATGGTACTGCTCATGTCTATAGGCGACGGTTACCACTTTCCATCAGGTGGGCCGTCAGCTTGTTTGCCATTCTAAGTTGTATAAAAAAAAAGTCTGGAGATATTTCTATTACTTGCAGTAACATTACCAATAGAACAATTTTTTAATTTCCAGAACACCGTCGATCAATGGAGGATAGTGTTCTTCATTCTCGCTGGTACGTACGTATTTGGTGCGGTGACCTTCGTCACCCTCGGATCTGGTGAACTCCAGCCATGGAATAGCCCGAAGGAAGTGGCCAGGGAGGAGCACGAGGTGGAACCGCTGAATGAGGAGAAGGCGTGAGGCTCTAGTTAGGATCAAGGAGTGTCAGATATGTCAGTTGTAAATTATTTGAACGAAAAGGTAAAAATTATGATGGGGCTGCCAAATGAGAAAGTCGAGGATAAGTGGTATTGGTATTCCACTCCGATGTGATCCCGCTTGTTGTGGGTTCGAATCCAGTGACATAAAATTATATTATTATATGTCTATTTAATAAAATTTTTTCAGTGATGGAAAATACCTTGAAAAATATCACTGGTTATTTAATAATAAAAAATGTTGGTCTGTAAGAGATTGCCCTAGCGATAAGACCGCCTTTTGTACCTTAATGTGTATATTTCAATCTGTATTTATGTTACTGTATTTCACTTGAATTATTCAATTGTCATTGTATATTTTTGTTTATGGTGCAATAAAATGTTAAATATAAATAAATACAATTATTTTGTTTAATTCCGCTACCATTGGTATTTATGTGACTGGCAACACTCGAAGATTGGCCAACACTATTACTATCAGAAGTTCCACAACCTTCCATATTAGCTATCAATCTTCGACTGTCATTTTGTTCGCGCATATTTTGCAAAACACTTGTTTACTTCACCTCTAAACGAGCCATCTTCAGGCAAATTATTAATGCTGCTCGGAGCCTAGGGCCTATAACCGTTGGGCGCTTCAGTCATTATTTGCAGTTTGAGTGGCCAGTTTCAAGTGTTGCCAGTCACACAAATACTATAGTAGTAATAGTAGCGGAATTAAACAAAATAATTCTGATCAATTAACCAGTGATATGGACTTACGCAGGATAACACCTAAGTAATAATCATAATAATAATTAGTTTTTTTTTATGCAACTTAGAATGGCAAACAAGCTGTGACGGCCCACTTGATGGAAAGTGGTAACCGTCGCCTATTTTTTTTTTTGTATTGTTATATTTTTTATGGAACTCTTATTCTACATACTTCTTATCATACATATTTGTATATCTAAGTAGATACACGTTTGTTACAATTACTTTATGGCCAGATACTGGTAGATATATATATTTTTTAATTTTGGTTTAAATTATCCTAAAGCTCAACATTGTTTACAATTGGCATACTGACCAGAAGAATTTACGTTTTGTTCAAGTACTTAAATGTATAAACGTGAGTATTTCCAAAAAGTATTTTGACAAAACTTGAATTTGTAGCCTCCAAAGTTTTGATTATTGAATCAAAATGTTTAGTTTAAATAATTAATTTTACATTACAAATAATTCTATATCTATGTCCGCAGTAATAAAAAAAAATTGCCAAATATTTTAAAATTCGAACACGGATTTCGCTATATAGACTAGCGGATATTTTATAAATTTATTTGTTGTGTTAAAATTGAATATACCAATTATTAGAGTAAACAAAATATAATATTGTCAACATGGATTTATTCAGAAATATTTCAATTATTTGTAAGGTCGTCAATCCGAGAGATACCGGTAAACTCGCCTTTACAACGTTGTATTTAAACATTATCGGTGAACGCTCTTTACACCATAATATATATATACGACTCAGTGATACCCCATAAAAGATTGTAGTCATGAACATTTTAACGATATATGAACTCTTTGGTCTTGGGTAGTATGCGTCCATAATGCCTTATCTCAAGTTATTTGCAATATTATAATATATGTTTACTCTAATATTGGATGTAAAAAAAATAATAATAAAAAAAAAAAACTCAAAAAAAGGCTGTTATTTATAACGAATGTGATTTATAATGTAACGTGCCGGCATGCGCAATGGACACTCGGCTTATGAAACTAGGGTTGCCAACTTGCAGATGCAATAAAAAAAAATTAAATTATATATTTTCATTTAATATTTAACATTCAACTCAATGTGTCATACAATTAAATATTGTATGGCGCATTGAGAAATGGGTCAACGCGTAGATACGTACTTTTAATTTGTAATACAGTGATGTGCAATCCGCTTTTTTGGTTTTAAAATAGATACCCTATTTTGATACTTGTTTTTTTGTGTAATCGAATTATCTACATCGAATACTCGATTTTGCGAGTAATTACTGAGTATTCGAGTCAGTATATCGACTAAAGAAGTTAGACTTACTGAGTACATTAAAAGGAGTGATTGGTTTAAGACCTTGTTAAGAAAACGTAGAACTTATTGCGATTCAAAATGTGAGACGTAAATCTTAGAATTACAACATACGGTGAGGTATGGAAGCGTTTAAAAGAGATCATCATAATATAAGATACGCGAAATACTAGAAATACACATAAGCATATCGTATGTAGCGTGATGTAAATTGATGAAGTAGGTTATAGGCCCAGTTTACATTTGGCCAACGCGTTGACGGGCTTATGCGTAAGGATACCATAAACTACATCTGGTAGGCCTATTACGCGCTGTCTAAGGTGTGCATTCATTTTATACACATATAATCTCTCACTAAACGCGCTTAAAGTTCAGCCTCTCGTTGAACGAGGTCTCATTGGTTGGCAGTTGGTAACCCTAACTGTAATGGTGATTCATACGGAAACCCGACTCGCACTAAGAGAAAATCTAGATATAAGTCCCAAGAAATCTTTATAGCTAGTTTTGTTGGTCTTACTATTACGCTTTTGGTAAAATATAATATGCTAGGCTCTTAGGTTCTTGACCCAATGAAATTTTAAAATGAAACTTGTTTAATATTGAAAAAAAAAAATAGGTCATAAAACGGTCCATTTCGCGTGGCGCTATTAATATTTCTAACATTCCACAATAGTTGAACGTTTGGTAAAACGAAGCTAGTTCTAGTTATGTTTTAAAAAATATATCAAATTAATTTCATTGGGTCTTCTTATAATGAATGATATTACACATTATAAGGTAACCTACGCATTGAAAATCGTACTGATAGTTGTGATTTTATAGTTAACGGGGACCAAACTTGGGGACAACAAAATTTATTGTACGTACGTATAATTCTTAGGTATAATTATAATGATCATGTCATTCGTACAATAGGTAAAAAGGGCGGGAAATATGAGCGGGAAATGGAATTTAAACTTTTTTTTTAATGAATTGAAATTAATTGTGCATGTAAAATTTTTAATTTTAGAATGTTGCCCTTGAATAAAATTTACAAATATTTAGTATACGTAATAGAATCTACTTATCTTTCATACTGTCCTCGTTTTTTCACCACGTAACCGAGGAAGTTTTTATTAAGTATGTATTTTGTATATTATTTGTAATGATTACTTACTGTAACGCATAATAATTTTATTATATCTTGCAACCTCCTACAAATCTTTAACTATTACAATGTTTTGTCACTTTCGTTCAAACTGAGAGTTTAGCACAAAAGAAGGAGACAACACAGTTAAATAGCGAAAATAGGTTTGTAGGTGGCTTTTAATTTTTATGAATAAGGGCCTAAAGTTTAATCAATTTTGTAATAATTTCTAACAATTTATAGGTATGTACAATAAAACTAAATAGGTTTCTTGATTATTTACAATTATTAAGTAATTATATTAGTATCAATTATTATTTATTTTTCTATTTTGTCGCGTGTTTAGGAAATTATAAAGCCATTCTACGTAGTTGTTCACCAGTGGAATTGAAGACACATGACCATAGGCAATTCTCTAATTTTTACCATAAGAAATAGATATTAAGATTATGCCATGTTGCAATTAGCTTTATTACAAGGGACAATGCATTGTTACTGTGCATTTTGACAGCTGTGATAAAGAGGCTTGTCTATGGCCCTACCTGTACTTCGTTAGTGCCTAAATTATTACTTTCTCAATTTTATTTTTGGAATGATACGATATTTTACAACGGCTATTAGTAGTTCCTAAATTACGATCAGTATTTATTGACTATTTTTTCATTATTATTATTTTTATTTCCATAGACAATATGCGTGCATGTTATTGTAATCAGGGTAAAAATCCATAGAGTACATTTTAATATAAATAAAAGTTGTTATAAAAAATAATATTGGTTAAGCAGGATTGTCTGTGGAAATCGTAACAAAAAGTATTTTTGTTTGTATGAAGGGATTGTGGTCTATAACAGAACATAATCTCTCTTAATCTGTATCCAATTATTTTTTATTTCTAATTAAAATATGTTTTATAGTGGTTTTACATAAATATTCTAAGTAGAAAATTAAAATGGTTGTCTAGGAACAGAATAATAATTAATTTATAACCCATCATTTAGATTATTTAATTCCAACATATAGAAATAATTATTAAGTTGGCAAGTTGACGTGTTAGTTTTATTAAAAACTGGTTCATGTTCATATAGTCAAGTAGCAAATAGCTTTATTTCTGCAGTTTGTTAGGTGATTTCAAGAGTTTAAATTACTAATCCAAAACAGAGTATAAATTTAAAGGTAAATCGCACCACTCATTCAAAACGTTTAATACTTTCCATTGCTATTAAATTAAGTATTGTTCTTACATCGAATAAGTAGGTATATAGTACTAATTAAAAATAATTGATACCTACTTAATTCTTTTTTCAAATCACGTAAAATTCGAAATATTTCTATTATATGTCAACGAAACGGCATTAACTTGTTTTCTTTCTATATTTACAATATTAATTGTGTGATTGGCAATAAACAAACCATTAACAATTTTACCGAGTGACGATTATGCAGCATGTGTGTGTGTGTGTGAGTGAGAAGTGTGTATTTATGGCAATGTTATGGCATACTACCGTATATATGTATAATTCATGTGGAAGGAACAAATTGTTAATATAGAGACATTTCTCTTCGTTTGTGAATTATTATTGAAAATAAAGATTTTACTAGAAATGATCGTTTTATTTTAATTTGAAGCTTTACCTTGTAGATGGGGAAACTAATGAATCGTGCTGCCCATAGATGTATTTAGAAGGGGGCGGCGGGTTATTAATTGGTAATGGAATGGTAACCCCACCTGCGCTATCAGGGCTGTTTGATCCTGTTACTAACATTCCCTTTCCATGGGAAGCTGAGTTTGTCGCGGACACCACAAGATTCAAGCGAATACTTTGAAAATTTTTGAGAATACATACGAGGTTTGTCCGGAAAGTACGTATAAAAGTTTTTTAAAAATTTTATTTTACAATTATTCAGGTAAATCAATTTTATCCCCTTCAAAGTACTCCCCCTGTGACATAATGCACTTGTGCCAACGCCGTTTCCACTGTGAGAAGGCTCCTTGAAAGTCCTCTGGTTGTAGGTTTCTCAGCTGCCCCGTCGTAGCTTTTTTTATCTCATTTATGTCCCCCAAATGCCGCCCCCGAAGTACCAATTTGGTTTTTGGGAACAAGAAGAAGTCACACGGGGCCAAATCCGGCGAATAGGGGGGTGTTCGGTCACCGTAATGGAATTTTTACTCAAAAACTCACGGAACGATCTTGGCGCAAATTTTTTTCATTTGAAGTTTGTTTCTTAGAATTTCGTGGACCACGGTTTTGCCCAAATTAAGCTCTTCAGCCACCTGTCTGACCGTTAAACGACGGTCCCCATTAACACAAGTTCGAATTCTTTCCACGTTTTCGTCGGAATGTGAAGTGGAAGGACGTCCTGAACGTGGGTCATCTTGAACGCTTTCTCGGCCCTCTCTGAATCTTTTTAGCCACTTGTGGACGGTTGGTTCCTTCACAGCATCATCCCCATAAACTGTTCTGAGATCGGCAAAAATTTCACGGCCATTCTTGCCGAGTTTCGAGAGAAACTTGATTACGACGCGCTGCTCTTCAACGGAAGCGGGCTCCATGCCGACGGGGTTTCGTTAAGAGGTAACTTCACAGATGGCGTGACAAGCCAGTTCGCACCGCACGGCGGTCAGACCAGAACTGAAGCATTGTTAGGGACATAAGGAAGGGGTCCTGCGCTTACCTGGCCTCCCCACTCCTCTTTCTCGCATTCCAGAACACTTTTATACGAACTTTCCGGACAGACCTCGTATGTGCATTTTTAAAGGGCTGACCCCTGAACCTGAGTTCTCGCTAGAAAATATTTTTAAATACGCTAATAGCGCTACTCATATCGGATAAATTTTAAACTTGTGATTTCTAATATATAGGAAATATAAATTACTAGCAGTTCCTCGTGGCCTTTACCTGTGAGAATCAATTAATTTTATTTATTTCATAGCAATATAGATTGTGTCGGAAACATGATTAATGCAGCTTCTAAAAATATGCCACATATATAAAGTATCATACATATTAAGCCAGGATTAGAGAATCTATTACTGTACGAAATTTTAGTAAAATTAATCGAGTTATTTAAATGTAATTGGGTGACACATAATTTAACCAGAGGGAGACTTTGTACAAAAATCGATTGCTTGGGTACCTCTGTCCCATTCGTGTTTCAACCGTGAAGCAGTTGTGTTTGCATGACTGTGTTACGGTTTGAAGAGTGGGATATGGCGTGAATTTATAGGGTACAGAGGAATAACATCCGAGTCCTCAGGAATGGCAATGCATGGGGGGTATCATGGGCGAAACAGTATACTCTGTTATGTCTATGCTACTGCTCATGTCTATAGGCGACGGTTACCACTTTCCATCAGGTGGGCCGTCAGCTTGTTTGCCATTCTAAGTTGTATAAAAAAAATATATAATTTTAGTATAACTTTTTTTAATTGCAGTCAATTGTACTAAAAGATTAATTTTGCTGGTGTGGATGCTGCTAGTAAGTATTATTATTAGTCAAGTAGGTATGGGCATTTCAGTCTGGCAACATTAGCAGAAATTGTTAATTTTTTATATTCCTGATTGACTACAAAAACTAAGCTTTTTTAAAAATTCTATAAGAAAAAAAGGGCGATAGGAGGAACTTTGAATAAAAACACACATTTCGGTAACTTATAATAGTTTATTGAAGAAACATTAGATGTTAGCACAGCCTAGCTGTCCCTACGAAGCTCTCGCTTCTCTACATTACAAGGCAAAGTGACCGATTACAGCTCCCAGTTAGTTAGTGCTTATGGTTGTTTGAAAAATAACGATATGGTGAGAAACCGTCGTAACTAGATAGGATTATTTAGTGTTATTTATAGAAAGTAGATAGGTGTAACATTACTTATATAAATTTTACTTATATTCTGACATAAACTAACAAATTACAACTTGAATCAATTTTATATTAACAATTGTGGGTAGTTTATTTCTCATATAAAGTAAAAATATATATAATATCGAGGATATATTCTTATAATATCTAAAAACGGTTCTATTATGGATTGCATTTTATTGCTTACTATGTTTTTCATTAACTAAACATGCGTGGAAGAAGAATACAAATTTTCACTTAGAGATAAATAAATTAACCAATGTAAATGACCGTAGACAATCTCAAGATCAAGATACTCCATTTGTACTTACCACATTCAATGAAAATAAATAAATAAATAATATATACATTTCGTATTTTTCAAGCAACCAATATGAATAACATTGGTGACTACACTTTCCTATCACAGGTTGTTTTTATCAGTATTATAACACCGGTGAAACGTAAGCAATTCATATTTGAGGTTCGCACAATTTGACGTTAATTATATATGATCACTTGGTAACCGAGGGGAGATTTCAAAAATTTTTGTACCTCTCTCTAAATTCGAAATAAATGATTTGTAGAAACAGATCCATAAATTGTGTTACAATTATTATAGAAAATAAAATTATATTTACAATTATTGAAATGACAAGACAGTTCAGTGACGTTACCAAGTACATACATATGATTTGTGCATTCATTTTATTTAATACATTTAGTATATATGGTGTATAAGTAAACATTTTATAGACCTTTTAAATATTAACGTCAAATTGTATACAATTGAAGTTTGAAAATATCAAATAGTGAGACGCGGCATTTTGTTTTAAATATCACATGAATGAGTGCATTTATACTCTAAAAATTGTTTATTGAACATGCAGTGTTACTTATGAACCCGTTAACATTGAATATTATCTATACATTAGTTGTACATAAAAAATAATATAAAGAGAAAATTATACAAAAAAATAATTATTAAATATTAAATTATAATAAATATATGTATGTTCCAAGTAACACTGCTTCGCTAACTACAATTATATACATCTAATTCAGTTACAAACTAAATTAACACCAACATATTGCCCAATCCTTAGTTTGTACTAAGCGTGGTACCGACCCATTACTACGCGATCGAGCCAAAGTATGCGTAAATGACTAAAAAATGACGAAGGTTGCCTTCTTAAAACAGTTAAAATAGTACAATCGGTTGCATATATAAGTACATGAGAAGCTAACAGCGTTAGGCCAGATTCACAGTATAGTGCCACTCTTAGTCTGATTCAATGTTTTGTAAAAAACAATATGTATATTATTTAATTATTTATTTTAATACATTCATGAACATAACCTAGAGTACTGGGGGGAAAGGGATTGTTAGTAATGGAGACTGAGAATCCTATTGCTAGCAATATACCTAACCAGGTCGATCTCCTCGCGGTTCTCCCTGGAAACTATCATGGTTAATTCCTAATGAATTCATCATGATGGGCTGCTAACTGGCCTGTTTTCACTCTAATCTATCACCCTTCACTGGTGCTCCGCCAGCGTATCTCGTTAGTGCAGGCGGGGTTACAATGCCATTTTCACTCATCAAAAAAAAAACCTAGAGTACTTACAATGCTCATATAACGAGTAAGTACATGAATTCTATTATTTTTGCTTTATTTACAAACCCTATAGATAATCCGGGTTCTCAAGGCTGACTGGAAAAAATCCCTTCAAGGGATAAGTCCACTTGGGTACAATATAGTTATGATTTGATATCTATATTAAAATGTACATAATTAAATGTGTATTCAAAATTCAATTGAGTACCGTTCCAATCAATCTCGAATTGTTTGCAATGACTATACCGAAAGTGGCATTATAGAGCGAATCTGGCTTCAATTGCCTTATTGAACAATATATAGGTGAAATCGAAATTGATAATGGTACATATCTATTATGTAACATATTAAGATAGAAATTTGACGAATCAAAAACATTCTAAGACGACAAAAATGTTGAGTCTCCCATATTAATTCAACAGCAAAACACATCGCCATAATATGGAAGGCTTAAAATTGTTTGTCATTTTTCGACCCACGTTTCGTTTGTGAAAATACTCAGTTTCGCTGGTAGAACACCTCTTTTGAAAGAGGCTATTTCGATTTTATCCTGCGTAGGCTGAGATTCTTTGAAGACATAGAAAATATTGAACCTCTATACCTTTTAAGTTAGTGTGTTTGAAAGATTAAATATTTTTTTTTGTCGTTTTTAGCCCACCTTTTTCTCTTTCCAGTGTTACTGTATAGAAAACTCCCTTAATAGAATGCTAATGATGTCGATTTCAAAGTAAAAGTTATGTCATGTAAAAATGTATGTTACAATGTAATAATAAATGTATGATATAAGAATATAGTAATTATATTCGGCAGTGGACGACACATGCGTGAATTAAATATTTGTAAGGAATTAATATTTAACTATATATATATATATATATATATATATATATATATATATATATAGAATTCTTTAATTTGAAATGATTCTCATTTTAATTTAAATATTGTCAAACAAAATTAATTATATATATAGTTAATTTTCTACAATACTCTTCAATGTATATATTTATTTATATGTGCAGTCGATTATATACTAAGGTTTACTTAATTGAAAATACAACTAGAATTTAATTTAGACTCTTGCCAAATTATTATCATTTAATATAACGAGACGTATTTCTTTTAAAAATACATTCTTACATTAAAATGTGAAATTTAAACCTTTCCGGTTCACTATAATAAATTTCGAGATTTACTTAAAGTTTTAAACGAATGTACAGTATTGTTTTAAAAATTAATAACACTTAATAGAGATGTTCCAACGAGCCGTACTCACGACACAATACCGTCTCAGTAATACTTTGTTCCCAGCGTTCAGAAGCAAATCACACTGACACACCGATCAGTTCGTTTTTAAAACATATCATTATATAGATATGGTTACACACGCCCTGTATGTTTTACCTTTTAGATTACGCTACATGTTTTAATTTTTATAAGAGACAGGAATTAATGTTAACATTTAGGAAAACTATGATAAAATAGAGTCCGAATAAAGAGATCCAGGTGAATTATCATAGTTTACTCAAATGATCACGTTACTTTCAGTCTCTTCTAAAACATTTTGTCATTGTGTAGACTAGCTTTTCCCAAAGTGGGCGATAACGCACCCTTGTGGGCGCTGCAGGTCTAAAGGGTAAGAGACCAAGAAAAAAAAAGGGGAGCGTTGTGTAGAGGCTAGGGGGGTGATTTGTTGATCTTGAAGTAATAGTGGTTTTTAAGCAAGTGAAAAAAATGGGGGCGCTAAAAAATAATTTATTCTCAAAGTGGGTAGTAATTTTTTTAAATTTGCATTAAAAAAAAGCAGGCATTAAGTCCGCCCTGTAGACATTTTCCAATGTGTGCAAAAGTATAAATAAATAAATAAATAGACAAAATAAGTTTGGGAACCCCTGATAGATATATAATAATTTATATACACACGACATAAATTAATCAAATCTTTCTTGGGTTTTGTAATTAACTGACTGAATCGAGATGGAGAAGACAAGATATGGGACTTTTTCCTTATATATATAAGGAAAAATTAAATAATTATATACAGAGAGAATCGAATGAATAGTAACCTTAACAAGGGCATGTCCTGCTAGTGAAATTGAATATCGTTTCTAAAGGGACACGATTCGAAAACCGAGAAATTTACTCATGCTTTAGATTATGTTTTAGGGCAGAAATTTAGTCTCAGATAGATTTTGTCTCACAAAAATAGTTGGTTATTTTTGTGGTGGCAAAATCAATTATTTTGATTTCTAAATTAACTACTACAATCTGTAATAATCTGTATATATCTTTCAGATAAAAGAAGAATTTTCCAAAATTGATTTATAATTAAGTAAGGAGATAACAAATAACCGAATTGAGAACCTCTTTTTTTGAAGTCGGTTAAAGAATTAAAAACGTCAAAAAATTTTGAATCTCTCATACTGATTTAACTAGCCGAGTCCAATTCAGCGCAACCAGCTGGTTAAATTAAGTCAATGCGAGATCCACGTGTCTTTGAACGTGTTCAGTTTTGCTGGTAGGACACTGCCTTCAATGGTTACGATTTTAATATCACCTTGTACAGGCGGACATAATAATTTGAGTAGTAATTTTTTTTTAAAATAAGAATCAATTTTATTTTAATTCATAAAAAAAAAAAACTAAGACCTTCTACAAACCTATTTTAATAATTACAAAGTTTTGTCTGTTTTTTAAAAAAATGGGAATTTAGCATAGAATCGAATACTTTATTTGATTTGAATAGGTAATGACAAAGTTCTTATATTGTTTTTTTTTTTTTTATCATATTTTTTATACCAAACTGGTATAAAAACACAAATACATACCAAACGGTGGCAAACTAGCATACAGCCCGTCTGATGGTAAACGATCACTGGAGCCTATGGACGCCTGCAACACTACACATGTGGTGTAATGTGTGCGTAATATAGGAAAGAGACAAAACAGTTTAATAGCTAAACTAGGTTTAAAAGAGGTTCAATGTTTTTATGAAATAAATACTTGTTAAAGGGCGAGGGTTGAGCAGCAGCGTCGCTCTTAAAACATCTCTAAAGCCTAACTGCAGTTGCTAACCCGCCTGCCAAGTTTGGCAACTAGTGGCAAAACTCTGCAAGAGGGAGGCTTATGTTGAGCAGTGTGCAGTTAAAAGCTGATACGATGACGATGACTCGTTATAATGCTAGGGCGTGTGTACCGCACTATACCACAACAAATATACAATAATTTGAACAACACCAACGACTAAAACAATTGGTCAATCGACGTTAAAATTACACAACAATATAAGGGGGGGGGGGGGGGAATTATTGAAGATTTGTTACTTCATAATTGACACAATTAATATGATATTACGTAAACTCCAAGCTCTGTTAAACGAAGCTTACGACGTCATGTATTCATGAATTTGTTATTAGTGGACTGGACGTTAACGCGTCATGCGAATAAGAATTCAAACATCATGTGATACAGTACAAAAAAGGAAAAAACAGAATCTCAATATATGTAGTAATTTACTATAATAAATCCTATTATTTATTTTTAAATTTATTTAAAACTGTATAGGATTGAATATACGAAACAAATCGTCAACTAAAAAATTACAGTTTTCTTGTTAATCTAAATTTAATATATTATAAATACAATATATATGGCAAATGTAGTGTTATTCACACCCAAAGGCAATGGTTACCATTCTAAGTATTAAAGAAAATATATATAATTATTATTTATATATTTTTCAAATTAACGAGTAAAAATAAAACATGTATATTTTTTATTTCATTAATAATCATAAATTGCATTAAATATACAAAGTTAGTCGTAAAAATTCATGAAAGTTAACAACTATCCCCAAGGAACAGAGTCGATGATATTAAGTTGATTTTCCCTGGAGGAAGTTGTTTTATATGTAGGGATGGTGTACCCATCAAGATATGCAAGTAATATTCGACCACGCTGCCACGTGTAATAGATTCTTTTTTCGACTAACATGTATACTATTTATTTTATATGAACATGTTACATGTCTGTATCATGAACATGTTACATGTTTGTACCATGAACATGTTACATGTTTGTACCATGAACATGTTACATGTTTGTACCATGAACATGTTACATGTTTGTACCATGAACATGTTACATGCTCATATCATGAACATGAATTCATGAATACATGACTTCACAATAGATAAGCGGAAGCTGTGAATTTACAAGTGTACAGAAATTAACACCAGCACCATTATTTGTTCCATACTGACCCCCACGTGTATTATCTACAATAACTACACAATTCGTATAGGAACTATAGCTTAAGTGCAAATTAATCGATTCTATGTTCGAAGCATTCGGATGTTTAGATTGTGAACGACGCGTTCAACTAATTTTACCGCTGACTGTACCATTATGGGTGCAACACTAAACAATAATATTCCCACTGAGCTATGACCCATTTGTATTGCTGCGGCATACATGTACAGATATTCTGATGTGGTTAAGAAACAATTATATACGGCTTACTTTATATATATATAAAAACTGGATTTTTTAGTACCACTTAAACCTCTTGGGCTTTATTAATCTTTAATCTTAATCTAATTTATCAATTAATTAATTTAATAATTAATAAAGCTTTATCAATTAATTTTAAAATAAAACAAACCTGCCCATTATGTTAATAATCCTTGTCCTCTTTCAAAGCAATACAATATCACAATTTCTTAACCAATTTTTTAAATATCTATTAATTTTTTTATATTATATGAATTGATTTTTTCAGAAATGTCATACAACTTTAAAATGGGTTTCAGAATTTAGCCCACAGTAGTTATATTTGTTTAGTGATGCACCAAAATGGTTAATATTATCTAAGTTAAAACTAACTAGTTTGAGAGTGCTATAACGCGTTAACTGTAATAATGATGGACAGACATTACTTAAAAGGATTATTATTATTATTATTATGTGCAGTATTTTACATGTGAATTTGAAGAAATGCATAGTTGCATAGATCCAATTTTTTTTCATTGATAAATTTCACAACCTTCTGTTCTTATAAATAATTATATATCGGAATTAGGGGTGCGGTGTGATATATAGCAATATATATATATATTGTCATATATCACCGCACCCCTGTGACGTGTGGCTGTAAAATGGTGTAGTGACAAAGATCGAAAAGGGAATGTTGCTTCGTTTGGCTATTTGGAGAGGATGGATGAAAGAATTACGAGATTTATCAAGCACGAATGAATGGAGACGTCAGTCCGCCCTAGACGGACGAATGTCGACCAAATAGGCGACGTGCTGAAGAAGGGCCAAATTGAAAGTACCCGTAATCGGCGAACGTGTATGAAAAGATTGATGAATGTGGATGAAGTGAAAGAGGTCTGTTTGAATTGGAGCATTTGGCGTTCCATTGTTTCTGCCTAGTGCAATGGGAGACAGGCGTGACGGATATGTGTGTATGTATGTGTATCTAATAGGTAAAAACTACAAAAATAATACCTATAATGTATTTGTATTTTTTTTTATATTCTGTATACTTAGATTATATAGATAGAGTGTCTCCATAAAAATGCTTCGAGAAAAGCGAGTCAACTTTATCAGACAATTTTGCGTGATAAATACTTAGAAGTAATTCTTTACAACTTCTATATTTATTTTGTCTTATAATTTCTGCATCTTTTTAATACGTAAATACTCATTTTATTTATTAAAAAATACGTCGAAATACATTTTATGCGTAAGTATATAGAACACAGATAAAAAAAAGAAACATGTCAGCTAATTTGACAATTAGCTGACAAAAAGTTGACCCGTTTTTGAGACTCGAGGCTTTATCTATATAACCTAAGACTGTATAATCAACAAGTAATTAATGTGAAGTAAAAATGTATTGAATAAATTAGGTGTCTATTAAATTTCGTTTAAGTAAGTTCGGTAGTTCAGCTAATAAATACGATCATACACTGGTGACCTATTAGTATTATTATTACCAAGTAGTAACATCTGTCCATCACAGTTACAGGTACCCGCAAATACCGTTTGCTCTATCTTATTTTATTGAATCCAAGGCAATGTCACGAAGCACGTTCTATCTAAGTTTACTCACTAGGGGCTTAGCCGCGAATTGTGCACTTTACAGTAATTCAATTGTAAACATTTAATTAATTATAATATTTAAATAAACAATTTTAAAGTTTACGATGGTCTCTATAAAACAATAATTTTGCGAAATTATTAAATTAAAATATAGATTAAGAGATAGGTTCAGAGACATTCCAGATTCAGCCCCATTGTCTATTATGATTATTTTTATAGAACCTTTTAAAATTTCAACTTAAAATCACTTATTACAAGTTAAATAACACGTGAATGTGCCTAGATCGCGACTAAGCCAAATTGTTCTAGATTACGGGCTATATATTTAATTGGTTGACCAGCTAAGGCCTAGGCGTTGTACAAAATGTTACATGATACTTGATTATACATCCAATTACATCGTTATTTGTTATTATAATTATATTTAGCGGATTACAGTTTATACATTAGTGTATTAATATTTTAAATACACTATCCTTATTTATCGCGACGAAAATTTGCAGCTAAATAATACCTACATACCTGATTTTTTTTGCCGACGTTTCGACGTTGATTGTACCACGTGGTGACCGTACGCAAACTGCTCGACGAACTAGCCGCTCACTTCAGTCCTGTCGTGATTACGACGTGGTGCAATCCACGTCGAAACGTAGGCAATAAAAATCAGATGGACCGCCATGGAAATGTTTCTCGAAATTTCGGATTAGAAAGAAATACAAATTTCTTGTTAAAATTACGTGAAACATACCGGTTAAAAATATTAAAAATGCTAAAATATCGTTCCTTTGAACTTTTGTGGTAGGATTTATGACTAAAGACATGTTAAGCTTATTTTTAGGTCGATTTTGTTATGACCAAAAACACGAAATTGAGTTACAAACTTCGGAATTTCATTTCATGGTAGACCCTCAGGTATGTAGGTACTATTTGCCTGTAATTTTTTAATTCGCGTTAAATCCGGATAGTATGTTAAAAATATATATACAACGACGGGAAATTTTAAAATTAACTAGTGTGTAAACGTCGGTATAGTAATTTCAAAGTAATGTCACGTCATTATATATTTATGTTAGGCAATATTATTATAGACAGGGCCTGATTTAAACATTCCGCCGTGCCGGGCAAACATAATAACCGCCTTTTACAATGACACCTTGCATTGTATTATATTGATTTTTAAAAAATACACTTACAGGCATAATGCAGCCTGAGTACTCCCCATTTTTGGTGGTCACTCTATTTTGCGCACCTTTTTTTTGCCGGTCTGGGCAATTGCCTGGCGCGCCCCTGGATAGGACCCTGACTATATGCTTTTAAAAATTACTGACGTGTAAAAAAATACACGCTTGTGTTTAGTTTACACTATGTGAGATTTTTTTTTATCAATTTTCGTGTTAATTCAGAAAATATTTTACACCTCACATGATTAATGGGAAAATATTTAAAAAGTAAACTTAATTAAAAAAAAAAATACGCTACACAACGAATAAGATAGACTGCTATACCAATAACATTAACCGATCTTTAGATAAAACTTATTTATATAATAATATTGCAAACTTAACATTTTTAAATGTTTTTTTTTTATTATTTTTTTTTTAATATATCAATCGAATAAGTTTCACCTCAAGATTCGGATCTATAATAACATTTGTTTTTGCTAAAAGGTCCAATGCGTACCATTTAAATTTGAGCAAATTATATAAATTTTAAATAAATAAATATTTATTTATTTAATATATCTGAATTAATTAACATAAGTAAACACTGTTTGCTCCCTATTCCGCCGAGATAAAATGTTATTCTGTCTATATATCAAGTAAACGAATCATCGGTAGATACGTTTTCGATACTGCACATATAAGATAGAGAAGAGGACGCTAAATGTTGCCGTCTCATTCATTCTCGTACATGCCAGCGATGGCGTATCTACCGATAGATTAGTCTATGATATCGCTTCAAAGATCTTTGCAATGAGCGTCGACCTAGACTATAAATAAATAGAGTTACCCATAATAATGACATCCCATTACTTTATATGTCGTATTTAAGCGAAGCAGTTAAGTTATGAACATACCATTATGTTAAGTCATTTCTCATTTAACCTGACTTTTGTATTATTTTAATTATATATCGATAAATTGAAGTAAATCAATAAAAAGCAATTAATAGTTATTAAGAACAAAGGTTTTTTTTTTATACAACTTAGAATGGTAAACAAGCCGACGGCCCACCTGATGGAAAGTGGCAACCGTCGCCTATAGACATGAGCAGTACCATGGACATAAAAGGGTTTACATGAAATGCAGGTAAAACACATTTATCAACAAATTCTTGTTTAATATACAAAAACTTATGTCAATTTTAATTTTTAATAATATTATTTATTAGAAGGGAATAAAACAGATGATAAAAATTGTAATAAAACCATCTGGTTAGCTTAGTGATCAAATAAATATAAAAAAATCATCTCATGTTAGGGTTGTCTCAATGATAAGTTCATAACTTTAGGCAAATATTAAAAAAATATTTGTTTATTATTAAAATTTATTTCACTTCTGCTTAAATTTGAAATGCATTAATATAAGTTTTTTTTGGTAGAACGTCGCAGCGTAAGGAAAGCTTTCATACATTCTTTTTTACAGCAGAATTGACAAAAATAAAATTATTATAATTGACAAATTATACTAGAAGTGAGGTAGAATATGGACTATAAATATAGTTTATAATTAGTGACAGATGAGATAAACAATACAGTCCAAAGAGAAAGTCGGAAGGGATTGTCCCATAAGATACCAATGCTATGTCTGAAACTAACTATAAATGATAAAGTTCATCAAGTAGAGATATTTTTTTCCAATTATTACATTTTGCCAAGATCAATTTTTACCGTAAAATGTGAAAAAAAAAAATTGACAACCCTTTTAGTTAGAACGAAATTTTTTTTTAATTTTTTAAAATTTCTAAAATTGAATCCCCACATGTGTATTATTAAATGGACGCATTAATTGAGCTACGCTCAAGCCGCTTTCAAGAATATTAATATCAAGAGAGCGCACTTTTTATAGGTTGTGCAGAGTGTTCTTTTTTCAAATTTAATCTATGATACATTTTTTATTTTATTTTTTTATTTATCTATGTTCTTTTATATCCAGCCAGCATCTTAATTTGATTTCAACTATTATATTTTATTGTAAGCCAATATTTGGACCTAGCATTGGCAGCTAAGTGCAGGACATAGGCAGTATATATTCTAAGTATAAAAAGAAACCGTTATAGCTATGCGCAATGAAGTTTTCGTTATAATTGAGATGTATGTATGTACTATAGGCCTCTGAATGTGCAGGACGAGGGGCGTGGCCCCACTCACCTGTCCTATGGTATGCGGACAGACTGGAGGACTTTGCTGGCCTGCAAACATAAATATTAATTGTAATACAGTATAATAGTACAGCAGTTTTTGTTTAAAGGATAAAAATGGAATAGTTACACAGTCTGTCGCCTGTATAAGTAATCAGATAGATTTACGGAGGCACTATGCGGAAGTAAAACTGACTTGGCAAATTTAGCAATGTACCCTACATTGGCTGATTTTTTTTATGATAAAGGTTCCAATAGAGACGCCATGTTCTCAAGATTTAGTATGGGTGACATGGTGTCTGTTATATTTATTGCCAGTGCCCTCGTTAAGGCAAACACTGAGTGTTGGGGAGGGGGGGGGGGGATGGTAATGATGGCATCCTCTGGTGTTAAGTTCCAAGGCCAATTTCGTTAATATTCAGCAAGAAAGATCCAATTCTCAGAAACATCCAAATTTCCCATGTAACCAGTCATGAAAGCACTAGCTCTAGAAGAAGACCCGAGGTCTTTTTTTAATGGGTGAAGATGGAATGGTACCCTCGCCTGCGCTATCGGTTAACGCTGGAGGGGTACCAGTGTAAGGTAAGGATGAAGGCAGGTCAGTTGGCTAATAGTGAACCAATTGAACAAGAATTAACCACTATGGTTTCCATGGGGAACCGCGTGGAGGTCGGCCTGATAGGCTGCTAGCAATATAGCAATAGGGTTATTAAATTTCATTACTAACAATTACTTTTCGCCCAGACCCGAGGGTCGGCCTAAGGACCCCACCTGAGACCTCCTAGGAGTGATATGTATGTAACCAGCGATATGGATTTCCGCAAGATAACATCTAGTTCAGTAAAATATCCTCCTAGGAGGGCTAAGAAGACTTGCGTAGTAGTAATGTAGTTCGGTAGCGACCTCGTACTCGGCCTGCGAGGCGCAGACGCCGGTGACGGCCAGCAGCTGGTACTGCCGCGCGCGGAGGGCGGGTGCGCCGCGCCGCAGCAGCCGCAGCGCACCGCCGCTCGCCGCATTACTGCCGCACACCACCGCGCGGACCTGCGCCCAACAATACAATGTAACAAATGAGGCTACATTCGAGAGGTCGGTATCGTAAAAAAATATGAATACTGGCCATTTATAGTTTGGAAAACAAGATCGTATAGAATTAAAAATGTGAACGTTCCAATTTCGAATTTCCCTCCATATTGTATCACGAGCTAAATTAAAATATTGTGTATAAGTAATTTAAAAAAAATAATCTATATAGATTAGGGAACAATTTCGCGTGATAATTTTTAACGACATAGAATGCCGCTTAAAACTGGACGTATTTACTCTAAATAAACTTTTTAGCTGTACTTCGTATGCGTGGATTACAAGAGTTGAAAACCCAATGAAACAGACAAATTTTAGGTGGCGTATTAAGAAAACACCACCAGATTTTAAGTGAGACATTCACAAACACCGCATTCGCATTAAATTTGATGCAGTAGTTTTTGGTGTGACATCGGAATAGACAGGCAGATAGAAAAAAAAATCTAAAAATTATTGTTTCAGCTTCTATTGGTTATTTTTCTTTACTGTCTTCCACAGACATTGGCCAGTTATAATTTTACTATACAGGTAGTCCTCGACTTACGTCGTTTTGATTTACGACCTTTCAAGTTACGTCGAACATTGTTTTGACACTATTCCTCAAGCATACGGCAATTGTTTCGATTTCCGGTATAGTAGGATTCACTTTACTTCATATATAATTATTTTAAAAACTTACTGTTGATAATAAAGTTTTTTATTTTTATACAACTTAGAATGGCAAACAAGCTGACGGCCCACCTGATGGAAAGTGGTAACCGTCGCCTATAGACATGAGCAATATCATGGACATAACAGAGTGTACTGTTTCGTCCATGATACCCCCATGCGTTGGCAATTCTGAGGACTCAGATGTTATTCTTCTGTACCCTGTAAATTCACGCCATATACCACCCTTCAAACCGAAACACAGCCATGCAAACACAACTACTTTACGGTTGAAACACGAATGGGACAGAGGTACCCAAGCAAACGACTTTTGTACAAAGTCTCCTTCTGGTAAAATATATAGGTAGGTATTTGGTAAAATGTATATCCTTTGTTATAAATGCAGTTTTTTTTTTATTTTGAATCAAAACGACGTAAGTGAAATACGTCTCAACTTACGTCGTTTCGATTTACGTCGCATATTTCGAGAACCTAACATGCCGTAAGATTACAAATAATAATATACTCACTTGTGCGGGTGAATGTGATGGATCTAGCACTAGTAATGTCGCCTTGCCGTCTTTGTGTTTTTCATACCCTATTATTGTACGGGAGTGGCCTGCGAAATGAGAATAACAATATAAGAACATTATCATGTTATTAACCTCTGCTGATAGTAAATGCTGTAACACGACTCTTTTAATCCTCCAGAAGTGAAGTGATAATTAGTAATATAGATCAATAGTTTAATGATGGCAATATACTTTTTTTTTATACAACTTAGAATGGCAAACAAGCTGACTGCCCACCTGATGGAAAGTGGTAACCGTCGCCTATAGACATGAGCAGTACCATGGACATAACAGAGTATACTATTTCGCCCATGATACCCCCCATGCGTTGCCATTCCTGAGGACTCAGGTGTTATTCCTTTGTACCCAGTAAATTTCCAGTAAATTCCTTCTAGGTCAACTTACATATAGAAAATTGAAAATCGTCGGCGTGACTTCCTTACGCGAATTCGTTTCAATGAACCAACCAACATGACTTCATACCTCATTGATACCTCCCGTAAACGGAGTAACACAGAAACGCCACTTGGGAGAAAAAGGGATTGTTAGTAATGGGGTTGATCTCCATAGGGTTTCCCTTGGGAACCATGAATACTTGTGGAATTCATCACAATGGGCCTGTTTTCGTTCTCACCTATCATTCCTTACTGGTACTCGATTTTCTTTTTACTTGGTGTTTTTTCATGTTTCTCAATTTATGAATAAAAATAATTATAGATTAAATCATAAAAAAAAAAACGGTTTTCCTTGACTTCAATTATGACAAAACCAGTTATTTTAATTTAAAAGAACTACGAAAAAAACGATGAAAAACCCGAAGAAAACTACGAAATTGGCTTATTGAAAAATGTTTTTACACGATAAAAGAATTTGTAAGTCTGAATGGTAGATTAGACTAAGAATGCATTCTATGTAATAATATTAATAATATGACATGTACAATTTTAATGCTTCATAACTATAATATCCAGTATTTTTAAATGTTGACATAATTAACTAATTCAATGTAACTAATATGTATTTAGAATAATTATTTGGACGTACGTAATTGATAAATTATTTATTTAACATGTGCTAAGACAAAATTTGCATGCCTTTAGATAAGGCGAAATGTGTAGCTCAGTTACCATTTAGGACCTTTGTACCACATTTCGAGCAAATAAATTATTCTTATTCTAAAAACAAAACTACTAAATTAATTTTGATAAAATGTCTATGAAACCAATCTGTAAATATAATATCTTTCAGATAAAAAAAGCAAAATTTTCTAAATTCGTTTAGATCTGACGTAGTTGTTGTGACAAGTAACAAACAAACAAAATACAACCGGAATAATAACATCTTTTTTTTAAGTCGGTTGAAAAAGAACTCTCCGGGCATGAACACAAATAGCATGGAGCAATATGTGTGTCACTACGGTACCATGGTGGGATACCTTGGTGCTGCAGATAGAGCGGGGCCTTGAAGCCGTTTGGGTCGTTCTCGAAGTAGCGCAGCACCCAGTCGAACAGCGCGGGGTGGCTGCCGTCCGCGCCCGTCGGCTTGTGGAAGTCTATTAGCTGACACCTGACGACAACAATGAATGTAGCGTCGAGAGCGTTCGCAACGAAGTATGCCAACAATGCAATTATCTGTCAACTTTAAAAAAATTCAACATTTATGTTATTCTTATTAAGCTGTCATTAAAAATTTGAATTTTGATGGCAAATTTTGGAATTTGAAAATTAAGAAGTAAAATATGAAGTGTAATTAATGTATTTAATAGTAGATTTATGCGTAATTATTCTATAGTTAATGGTTTAGTTATCTAGTAGAACATCTTTTAAATGGAATGAAGGACATAGACTACTTTTCTCGGTCAGCGAACGTATCCTAGTCATGTGGACGGAGTCGCGGTTAAAAACTAGTATATTCAATCATACCTTATCCTAAGCGACGACAGTACGGTGACCACTTCGCAGGCACCAATCCATTTTCTAGTATTGTACAATTTGGACCCTAATTGTTCTGAGCCCTGTAACAATTGTAGATCATTCAAGTGAGCTTTATGCGAGTCAGAAAATACTCGATTTCCACTTGCTAGATAATATTAAAAAAAAAAAAATGATAAATTTATGGTCAATGATATCTATTCTGAGGCGAAATTTCTCTAAATTTAAGTTAATGGAAATGTGGTGACTTTGACCAAAAGTCGATTGTTTGGGTACCTCTGTCCCATTCGTGTTTCAACCGTGAAGAAACTTATTTATAGCATTGTACCTAGTCTGTTTAATTATTGTTAAGATATTGTTGGTGTATATCTTTTATAAATAAATAAGTCACTGTACCACATTTTTTTTATACAACTTAGAATGGCAAACAAGCTGACGGCCCACCTGATGGAAAGTGGTAATCGTCGCCTAAAGACATGAGCAGTACCATGGACATAACAGAGTATACTGTTTCGCCCATGATACCCCCTATGCATTGCCATTCCTGAGGACTCAGGTATTATTCCTCTGTACCTAGTAAATTCACGCCATATCCCACATTTCAAACCGAAACACCCATGCAAACAACTGCTTCGCGGTTGAAACATGAATGGGATAGAGGTACCCAAGGAATCGACTTTTGTACAGTCTCCCTCTGGTGTATGACAAGCATATGTTGATAATGCACTAACTTTTCTGCACTTGATAGATAAGTCACAGTTTACCTGCGTGTCGAAGCCCATCTTCCAGGCGCTCTCGACGAGCAGTTGTAGGCGCGGTATGGACGGCACGCAGTCACACTCCACCACGCCGCTCAGCAGCGACGCGTACTCGGGATTCTTCAGCAGCGAAGACAGCACCATTTGCATGTTTCTGCCGGCAAATTTAAACATTACTAATATCCTAGCCATATTGAATTATAGCCATGTATACATACATATGTATGCTATAGTTACGTACAAAACAGCCATCTTTTATGGATGTTCCAGGCAATGTGTGGCTCCAATTTACTTAACTTTTATGTGGCATTCATGTTAAAAAAGGGTATATAGACTATAGGTGGGTAATAGGTATATGTGGGGGGAAAGGGATTGTTAGTAATGGAGACTGAGAATCCCATTGCTAGCAATATACCCAACCAGGTCGAGCTCCTCGCGGTACCCCCTGGAAACTATCATGGTTAATTCCTGATGAATTCATCATGATGGGCTAACTGGCCTGTTTTCATTCTCATCTATCACCCTTCATTGATGCCCCGCTAGCTTATCCCGTTAGCGCAGGCGGGGTCACCATACCATTTTCACCCATAAAAAAAAATGTATATGTAGCAATATTTACATATTGTAGTAATAATTATATATTGGCTCATCAATGGACATATTAAATATAACTTATCCAATATTAAAAAGCAATATGTAGATAGTGGAATGATAACAGTACTATTCCAATATCTATATTTATCCATATCCAATATCTATATAGATAGAAAAAACCTCAAAATAATGATAGGGACAATAACGGGTCATTGTCCATTAAACAAACATTTATACACAATAGGAGCCACAGACAGCCCTCTATGTCGAGGCTGTTTCGACGCTGAAGAAACGGCTGCTCACGTAATCCTGGAATGTGAGGCTGTGGCCCATCAACGTTTAGAAATCCTCGGAACGGTGAGGTCGCTCCATGAAGCCTGTGAAGAACCCAGGAAGCTTCTGCGCTTCTGGGCGGAGCTAGGTTGGCTGTACTAGCCACGACTCACACGCACAACGGCCCAAATGAGAGGCTAAGTGCGGAAAACGGAGTCTTTCTTACATTACATTATATCTATATTTTAGTTTCCTATTATATGTACTTTTATCTCTTACCTGTACCCGCAGCCCCATCCCCTGTCGCCGTAAGTGCTCGCGTAGTGGTCCACTCCGCTACATAAGTAAGTCTTCACTATACTTGGATTCTGAGCATTTAGTTGAGCTATCCTTTCTAAAATTCCTGCAAAAAAAAAAAAAACATTAACAAATAAATAATAATGATGATAAAGATTTATTGCAAATAAAAATATTTTATATTTATATATTTCACTTCGAAATTACTTCAAAGTAAAATATATAAGTATAAAATGTAAGATTATGCCCAACACACTAGTGTCTAAACTAGGCCTGGCCTGTATCTTAAACACAATAAATATAATATGAAGCATATAAAATACATACCCATATGTTTATATATGTAAGAGTATATTGGTTAAGAACAAAGAATGAGGGCGAGGCGCGTTACGTACCGTCGGTGCGCGAGGCGGAAGCGATGAGCGGTACGTACTGTTGGTATCCGAGAAGGAAGGCGAGTGAACGGTACGTACCGTCAGTTTCCGAGGCTGGGGGCGGGTAAACGGTACGTACCGTTGGTATCCGAGGCGGAGAGTGGGTGAGCGATATGTACCGTCCGAATCCCTAGCCGGGGGCCGGGTGAGCGGTACGTACCGTCGGTATCCGAGAAGGGCGAGTGAGTGGCGCATAATTGTTGGCATTTTTGGCGGGGGGCGGGTGAGCGGTACGTACCGTCGGTGCGTGAGGCGCCTGCATCGCGGCCGGCGGCGGAGGCGCGGCGCAGGCCGACGCTGCGCTCGTAGTAGCCGGCCACGGACAGCGCGCCGCTGTACACGGCGCGCTTAAGGCTGTTGCTCGCGCGGCTCGTGTAGCCCTCCTCGTCCTCCTCCTCCATGCCGTACTGGGCCTGCAAATTGTATTTAGAAGTAGTACTAGCAGTGGCGTAACAATAGGGTGGCAGGGCTGGCAAAATGCCACAGGCCCCCGACCCAAAAGGGCCCCGGCTCAAGAGGCCGCGAGCTCAGAATTAGAATACTTGAAAATAAATGATAAGGCTCCATCAAAAGAATTTGCCACAGGCCCCAAATGGTATAGTTACGCCACTGAGTACTGGTATTTACTTATAACACACTATTTCTTTTGTAAAATAGTAGTATGTTTGTGTATTTATATTTAATTTAATATGGGAAATAATAGTATTTTTGATGGAAGCAGTATCAGTAGCAAAGAAAGAATTAATAACTGACATCTATATTTTTAAATGTCCACAATATCCACATATTTTGTAGAATCCAGTACTCTGGATGGAGAAAGTGTTACTCTACCTCTAAGTGGAATAAAAGAGAAAGAAGTAATCATGTATCCTCACTCTCAGTAGCTGAAATTCATGTTCCTCCCTATTTCGTTGTGCTTCTCGTTCAGCTGCAGTGAGAGATGATGCACCTTCTTCGCCTCGCTCGAAATGCTCCTCTATGTGTTGAATCTAAAATGCAATAAAAATTATCAATGTACATAAAAATAGGCCACAAATTAAAAGGTTACAGAGGCATTCTAAGAATTTGAACCAGAAGCAAACTATAATACCAGAAAGGGGTTCCATAGTGCATAAATGTAGGTCAAGTAAATGTCTTTCACAGTTTTGCCTGTGTCACATAAAAAATTGTTATGTATGAAAATAATGGGTAATTTGATTCAAGTCAATTAACGTGGGTACCTGTATGATTATTATGACAATTAAAATAGTTTTGCTTCCAATCTCAACCAAGTATCTTTTAAAAATTATATAATATATGAAATTTTACTCTATGACTGAGAATAAATATTTCATCATATATTTAAACATTCTAACATTTTTTTTGTAGATAAATATGTTAGGGTCATTGTCATACCAACTCATGCTGTGACAATGGCAGGGGCTGACAGCAAACTGGACAATTGCTGACTGGGCTCTCCTCCATCATCACCACATCCTCACAGGAGGCATTGTCCACTTGGTCCTAAAATTGAGAGAACAACCGCATGAATAACTAGCTTATTAACTGCTACTTCACACATATTGAATTTAGAAGTAGGAAAACCAGCTAAATAAATCACTTTTAGATAGTGTCTCAAGACACCAGAGGGAGACTTTGTACAAAAGTTGATTGCTTGGGTACCTCTGTCCCATTCGTGTTTCAACCGTGAAGCAGTTGTGTTTGCATGACTGTGTTTCGGTTTGAAGGGTGGGATATGGCGTGAATTTACAGAGTACAGAGGAATAACACCTGAGTCCTCAAGAATGGCAACGCATGGGGGGTATCATGGGCGAAACAGTATACTCTGTTATGTTCATGGTACTGCTCATGTCTATAGGAGATGGTTACCACTTTCCATCAGGTGGGCTGTCAGCTTGTTTGCCATTCTAAGTTGTATAAAAAAAAAAAGACAAAATATAGACCAGTTTTTAAGTTAGACAATCAGGAATACAATTATGAGAAAAACATCCAATTTGGTGCAGTAGTTTTAGCATGATGTCAGAACAAACACAGCCAAAAAGATAAATTTTTCAAAAAATATTGTTTGGCATCTATATCTCCAATGTAGAGATTGTCTAATCACAATTTTATTATAATAGTGTAGGTAGTAATTACAAACAATTCTGCTGTTATTTGACTTTTTTAACTATAAAATTTTAAGAAACATAATATTAATTATTAATTTCTAATATATCAATAATTCATTATTATTTAAATAAATTGTCAGGACTTAATGCTATGAAAAATTTGCAGGTCATTATTACAACATACCGGTTTCTTCATTGCCGACATTTCAAATGGACCACACACCACATCATGGCCACAGTATGACATTATATAAAATATTTAATTTTAATATAATATTAAAATTAAAGATAAAAAGTAGAAATATAAGTGGTAGAGGTGCTAAGACAGTCAACTTTTGCATAGTCCCTTTTTGGTAAAGTTAATACCCATAGATAAGTCTATAGATTTATAGTTTTGCTGTAATGTCTAATTGTAATTGTAGTCTTAAAAATAGAGAATGGAATTTAAGAATTGCTTCTATTAATGTAAATAAATTAAGTAAAATGTATAAAAAACAAAGATTCAATTAATCTCTGCGTTTTCAATACTTACAGTTTTCTGTGGACTGAGGATATCCCGATGTTCAACATTGACATGCACTTCGACTTCAGAACAGTTGGTAAATTCTTTGTCACATATAGGGCACTGGTAAGATGAACTATGGGGCCCTGGTGACATCGCCATGGCACTCAATGCCAACGTTGGGTTCTCTAAAGTCAATGTGGGATTAGTAACTCCCAGGGTAGGGTTGTCCGTGTTAGCATTAGCATTTCCAATCACAGATGGAGATGTAAGATCGAAATGTGCGCGGTTTATGTGCTCTTCCAATTTTCTTGGACATGTTGATGTGAAATCACATAAGAGACACTGAAAACGTATCAAGTAATTTTATTGTTAATAATATGTAAGGTTTAAAAATATAAATTAAATCTTTGAAAATATCTTTTGGCGGGTGAAAAACCATTTGTTTTGATTTTTTTTTTTTTTTAGTACGTTTGTTCCGTTTGGAACAGGCTAAGGTCGGAGACCATGCTGCCTAGTCTTCAAAAAGATAATTTGTCTGGAATTTTATTTTTCTAATGTCGCTTCAATTATTGTCATAATCTTCAATATTTCATTTGTCAAATCCGGTAAGTACATTTTCATAAATATCTTTTCTTGAGTTTTCTTAAACCAGTGGATTTATCAAATTAAAAATAAATAATTATAAAAAATCATTGTCTTGCAATTCAATAAAAGTATTCTTATAGCTCCTTGAATGTTGTAGTAATATAAGTGAAAATAGCTTTGAAACAAGAAGGAAATCTTAAGAGAATCGGGATTGAGTGCGGGATATTTTCGGGTTTTTTGAAGATAATCCTAAGTTCGTCAAACATAATGTGTCTTTGAATGACAAATTCAGAGCAATCAAAAAAAAAGGTGATGTAGAGTTTGGGCTGTATTTGAGTTACACCATGTGCATGATGGGGAAGCGATCATGCCCATTCGGTGCAGGTGTTCGTTGAAATGTCCGTGGCCGATTCGTAATCTACAAATATTGGTGTAAAATTTTCTGTTTGTGTCCTTTCCTTTGCAGAACCACGGTTTTCCAATACGCCAATTAATTTTGCGGTACCATTTGCCTTTAGTCTGTAATATTTGAGTCCAATGCTCCTCCCATTTAGTTGTAACGATTTTATGTATTCCAATACTACAATCTGAGTAACAAAGGGGTAAATCTTGAACACGAGCAGCACTTGAATTAATAATTTTAGCCAAAGTGTCTACTTCTTCATTCCCAAACACTCCAATATGTGAAGGGGTCCAGATGAAGATAATATCTTTTCCATATATAGTACAGAGATGATAATATTTATTACGAATTTCTTGAATTAAGTAGTTTGATGATGAAATGAATGTGTTATTTTTTAATGCCATAAGAACACTCATACTATCTGTAATTATAATCCATTTCGAATATAGTACCTGTTTTTCTATGTATTCTAATGCTAAAAATATAGCTTTTGCTTCTGCTGTGTAAATACTAGCCAAAGTTGAAATTTTATAACCGTGACCAAATCTATTTGACAAATCGTAAAAAGCCACTGAAGTGCTAAGTGCATTTTTGGAACCATCTGTATATATCTGCCTGTAGTCAATAAATTCTGATAAAGTCTCATACATATCGTGCTTTTCTTTTATGTCTTTACGTATAACAATTTTGATTTTACAGAACTTACTCTCATAAAGGCCATTATAACAAGGAAGTATCTTACTACTATAGATGTTATATTCATCTCGTAAATTCAAATCATTGACAATAGTTTTATTCAAAAACATAGAAATGGGGCAATTTAATAATTTGAGTATGAGTGGGTTATTGGAAACTGAAAAAACTTTGAAGAGAAATTTGAGTTTTAGGTATTCGAAACGAAGAAGGATAGGAGGCAAATTACATTCTACTTGCATTGAGATAATTGGAGAAGTATACATAGCACCTAAAATAAGTCTTAAATTCATATTTTGAATTTTTTCGAGTTTTTCTACTAATTTATGTTCTGAGGCATAACAAAAGAAAGCGTAATCAAAATTACTTCTAACAAGAGATTTGTAAAGTAAAAGGATAATTTTAGGATCAGCTCCCCAGTTACGACCAATTACAGATCTTATTATATTAGTGGCTCTTAAAGCACGATCTACTAAGCAATCAACGTATAGATCCCATTTTAAATTTTGATGAAAAATTACCCCCAGAAATTTAACGCTACAGTCTGTTGGAAGAGTTTGATTATTATATATAATATTCATTAATGGAACATATTTATGAACTTGATGAAAAACAACTACTTTACTTTTGGTTAAACTAATATCGAGGGAAAGAAGAGAAAAATATTTCTCAAGTCTTTTTAATGACTCATTTAACACTAATTGCATATCAATAATATTCTTTCCTTTTATATAAATTAATAAATCATCGGCAAATTGCAAGTTGTTCACACTGTTTCCTAAAATTGAATTAAGTTTATAGATATATAAAATATATAGTAGCGGGCTTAGAATACCACCTTGACATACTCCTTTAGAGCTTAACCTAGGTCCTATTAATTTACTATTTACTTTAACATACACTTCTCTATTACTAAGAAAATTATAAATCCATTCGATAAGTTTCATTGGAAGAAATGAGGATAAAATCGAAGATAGAACTGTTAAATTTACATTGTTAAAAGCTCCTACGACATCTAAAAAAACAGATAGAACATATTCATCGTTATTCAAAGCAGTACTAAGGTCGACATAGAAGTTCGCTAAACTTTCGCGCGCTGAATATCCACGGCGAAAACCAAATTGATTCGATGGTAATATACTATTACTTTCAATAAAGAACTCTAAACGCTGTTTAATTAATTGTTTGAATAATTTGCCTGCACAGGACGTCAATGTTATAGGTCTATAGGAGTCGAAATTTGTAGGATCTTTACCGGGTTTAATTACTGGAATCAAACAATCCATTTTCCATTCTGGTGGGATAATACAGTCCTTCCATAAATCGTTAAAAATTTGTAAGAGTTTAGTAAGGTTTATTTTATTCAGCAATCGAAACATATTGTATGTTAAGCGATCAAGGCCACTAGCTGTATCTTTTCTAGATTTTACTGCACTGGATATTTCATCAATTGAGAATGGGTCAGTGAGAAATTTTGGGCATGAATTAACAGAATTAAACTGTTTGTCATCAAAAGATGAGTGTACAAAATCAGGAGTATATTTGCGTAAAAAATCATTGACCCATGATATATCTTTAAAATGATTTTGACGATGTTTTGAATTTAATTTTCTCATATTTTGCCAAACAGTGGAAATTGGTGTTAATCTATTAAATTTGGAACAAAATTCCTGCCACCCCTGTTGTCTTACTTGCTTAATTACTAACTTTTTAACAGCTTGAACTCTTTTAAAATTTATGTAATTATCGAGAGTTGGATTTTGTTTAAACCTAAGGTAAGCCGCTTTACTATCATTGACAGCTGTCGCACACCTGTTATTCCACCAAGGCACTGCAATATGTTTGTGCCTCTTTGAAGTATTTGCACCGCTATTTGATAAGTTCCTACGTGGAACGGAACGTTCCACAGCTGTCAAAATAATTTTACAGAACCTATTGTAATTGTTTAAGGGTTCATTGACATCATACTCGAAATCCAAAAGTAATCGATTAACAGTTTCAGAATAAAGATCCCAATTAACGAGACGTAGGTTTATACGATTTAACAAAAGTTTATTAACTTCATCTATAGGAGCATGTTGTTCACCTGACGGAGTTGATGAAGAGTTCTTTGTGTTTATTTTAGTAAAAGTCGGCAGGTGATAACTTCCTAACGGATCATCATGAACCGACCACTCGCATTTTAATGATATGGATGGGGATACCATAGTTAAATCAAGGCCATTGGGTCTCCAAATATGAGAGCCAACAGTAGTAACTTGCTTATCATTTAATAGTACCAAATTACATTCATCTAAACAATCAAGAATGTCTTTACCTCTTGTATTAGTGGGGGTACAACCCCACATAGTATGATGTGCATTTAAATCTCCAGATATGATAGTGGGTTTAGGAAGAGACTCCAAAAAGAACTTAAATTTGGCTTTAGTAAAACTAGGTGTACTATTGGTAGGACAGTAAATACTGGCAACTGAATACCAAGAATTATTAACTTCAATACTAATAGCTATAGTTTGCAAAGAATTGTCGAAAAAAGAGTGAAGTTTTTTATATCTAATACTATTATGTATAATAATCGCTACTCCATTGTGGTTATTACCACAATCATTTCGTTCTATACAATAATCTTTAATTTTTAATTTGTAATGTGGTTTTAGCCAAGTTTCTGAGATGAGAGCAATGTGAATATGATGTTCATTTAAAAATTGTGTAAAAATATGTCGATTGCTCAGTAGGCTCTGAGCGTTCCACTGTATGATAGTTAATTGGTCTCGATTGAATTTTGTGAAATAGGTCTATTACCAAAAGTATCATATAACACATTCAAAACACTTTTAGTGTTAATAGATGTGTTCTTTGTGTTATGTAGTGAAATAAGTTTGATTATGCTTTCTATTAAAAGTGATAAACTCTTGTTATCAGAATTTAGAATTGAAATTAGGTCTACATTTTTTTTAGGTTTGTTACCCAGTTTAGGAAATATTTCAGTGCTAAGTACATCTCCAAAAGAAGCAGGTCTGAATTTAGATCTATTTTCAGCAATTTTCTTTTGTTTAACAGGGCATTGCGGTGATACACTTGTGTGATTTCCATTGCAGTGTACACAAATAGCGTTTTCCATTCCAGTTGTACAAGTTTTATAATTATGCTCACCTTTGCAGATGCTGCAACGCTCAGAATTCTTACAGAATTTAGCTAAATGTCCATACCTCAAGCACCGGTAGCATTGTTTAACTGGTGGTATATATGGAGTGACATTGTGGCGCCAACCTCCAATATCCAGATATTCAGGTAATACAGATGCAGCAAAAGTAATTGTCACGGTTAGAGTTGGCTGTAACACATATCCATGAGTCAAGGTATTTTTTCTTAAAATTCTTTTAATAGCAATAATTTTCTTAGAACTCGATATCATAGTATATATTTTTTTATTAGATATATTTGTAGGTACATTTCTAATAACGCCTGTAACTTCTGTTGAAGAAGCAGGAATACTGGCCTTAAAATGGTAGTCATTTAAAAAAGTTTTATTATTTAAAAAAGCATTGGCTAAGTCTGGCTTTTGAAAGTATACTCCGATTTTGAATTTATTTATAGATCTAAGATAAGTTACCCCTTTATTAAATCGTTTTAAACAGGAGGAGAGTGAGAGCAAGTCTCTGGATCCAATGGTTTTCTGACTATCTGAGGATTCTACAAAGACAACAAATTCTGTCCCAGGGGATTCCTCGGGATATCTTCTAATATAATCTGTGACGTAGTAAGGTTTATACTTATCGGCCTTATCAATTTCAGATTCTGAGTCAGTAGAAGTATCTTCCGAATATATATCCTTGTCATTACAAGGTTCATGGTCTACATCACCTGAATCGTCATCTTTTTTTTTCCTTTTTCTACAACTGCGCTTCCCCATGAATGCTAATTATATTACTGTCGCTGAATTTAGTGAAAATATAATATTTTATTCAATAATAAGAATTGATAGAGATAGTTTTAATAAATTAATAAAAAAAATTTAAAAAACCCGCTTGTTCTTATTCGAGTTTCCCGCCTTTTTTTTCCATTTGTTTTGAAACTTAACTGATATTCGTGTCAGTCAACTGTCAATTTAGAAAAAAAAAAAGCAATTTAATATTTTTTTATTACGTAAGACGTAGCAAGGCAATATACCCTTACAGCTATATAAAATACATTGTTGGCATAGGTAGACTGTTAAAATAAGAGAAAATTGCGTATGTAATATATTACTGTCTCTCATATAGGTACCTGCACTGTTGGACTTGGAGTAGGTGCTGTTTTTTTAGGTGTGTTGGGTTTCAGTTTTAAAGCTAGTTGCGATCGTAAAGGAGATCCTTGGCCTGCACTTGCCATTATTAACTGAAAACGAAAATTGTACATTTACTAATTTTTCATATAATTGTAAACATATTAGTAACAGTAGTTAGGTGGAAAACTAAATACCTTATTTTTATTAGGAGAACCTTCGTAACTTCCACTATTATGGTGGCTTGGACTCGAATGTATACCTGAAATCATAATAGTCTCCTTTTTATTAGGAATGTTTATATATATAAAACTGTCTTAGAAAAATATTGATTAAAAATTGGCTAACCTTTTTTCTCAAGTCCATTTATGACATCACCGTCGTGAGAACTCTGTCTACTTTGAATCTTCTTTGGAATTATACCATTGCTGATATTTATATTTTTTAAGCCGTTAGCAAGATTTATATTTTTTGGGGACCGCGTACATCTATCATCGTCTCTGTCATTTCTATACCCTTCTTTGTCTTGGTATCCATTGTGGTATGTGTTTTTGGAGATGGCTCCATTGTGGAAGGATGAAGATGTGTCAGGGCTATGCCAACCGTTAATTGAACCTGGGGTGTTGTAGCTACAGCTGTCTGTTGTAGTCATTTTAGAGTCCTCATCGAAGCTGAAAATTATCAATATTGTTTATATACTCAAATTGGAGAAGTGATTATTAGGAATAGGGACTAACAGCAGCCTTATTGCTAGCACTATACAACTTTCCCCATCCAAGAAATCTTTATAGTTTTTAGCGAACTTGTCACGATAATCTGGTCTTATTCATTGGTATACTTAAGATTATTTTTTAGTGATGATTTAGTCTCTTAAAATACGTGCATATGCACTTTCAGATGTCTTTGCTAAGCTATGCTCGAATCCTGAGATCGGCACTATGTGATTCTGGAGTAAGCATGGCCTACCCGGCCTCTATTTAAATGTGTCTATGGTTTTTACTTACCAATAACAGAGTAAGATAAAACAACAGGCGAGCGGTCATAGGCATAATGTCATTAGTATACTCTGAATGTTCTTATTGTTGATAGAAAATTTTAAGTCTGCTTACTTTTGTTAATTTATATTTCGCTTTCATATTAGATTGTAACCATAAAATTTTGTTGGAAAATTCGGCAACTTACAAAAACAACAAGTTTAACATAAAATATCTTGATAAACTACAAATTGTAATTAGTCCTAATGTAAACCTACACTCAATACAATGTAAGTATCTACTTATACAAATGAATTGAAGCAGAGAGTATACTTACTAAAGACTTGACTTTAATGAAATTAAAACCTAGCCGAGCGTTCCATTCCACTATGTTACTTTTCTAAGTTAGTTACTTAACAAGTATTATCAACCCGTCACTTCACTCTGAAAGTATGTAACAGCTATCTTATTTGTAATGCTGATCAAATCTCTTGAACTCCTTGAACTCCTGAGTCATGGACGAGTTTGCTGTTTTATTCATTCGGATATCAGGAAGTTTATAAGATCATATATATATATATTTTTTTTAAACAATTGTCATAAACCCCATTCGTAATTCTTTTGGCCACAACCTCACAGATTTCCACCTACCCGCTTAAATAAATGGCAAGCTAATTCATGGAATGGTTTTCGCTAGCGTGTTCATGAGATAGAATGTCGTCAACGGCGCCAAAGTGCGCTGTCTTGTTTCTTCTTATGTGAGTGCTGACCACAAAGATTCCATTGTTGGATTGGTTTATGACTTGTTTAGAGGGCCAGATGTAAAGAGACGTTGAGGTTTAGGTGTTGTATACAAAATTTAATTGATGTATAATATTTTTATTTTAGCCTTGAAAGCACATTTCTTTGGAATTATTTTAAAGCCTCACGAAGTAAATTTAAAATAATTCCAAAGAAATGTGTGAGTGATGGATTGAATCCGGGGTAGTTTTTATCCGCCGTTTAGTCTACAATGGCAGATATATATCATGTATTCCTAATACCTAAAGAGGGGAAATAACAGCTTTACGAATGCAGGTTATGGCACCTCTCATATCTTCCTTCTACAGTTTGTGTAGTTAACATTTATATAAAGACAATGTATATTACTTGCATTCTGATGCATTTGCAGTCAGATAGTGTGCTAATAATTTCTAATTTAAAAAAAATCTTATTATTTTAAGAAATTCCCTATTTATAATGTTTAGAATAAACATTATCTTGGCTTATATACAAGCTCTTCTCAATCAATCGATGGTCATTTTTCTATAATTCTACCGCTGGGTTCGGATGGAATGTCACGTTTTATAGGTATAGATTTATCTGAGATATTATGATTACCTGGGACTTTGATCATCAATGAACGCCATCAGCTCTCTCTCCGGTGTTAAGTAATGGAGGTGTGCCCTTTGCACGTGCCCCACCAGCTGTGGTTGGGGGACAGCACAGTCGCAGAACGGACAGTCTGGCCTTCCAGCTACGTGCGCCTCTAGCGTGTGGGAGCGCATTCCCTCGTCTGTCAGACCTTCGGCGCCGCATAGTTCGCAAGTGTATGGAAACGGACTACTCGACATGTTTGTTGCTGGAATATGCTGATTTGTTATTTTGGGTATTTAGAAATAGAAATACACATTAAATATTAAGACCAGTAAAGGGTTAAGGCTGTGGCGTTTGTTGGCAAGAACGAGTACAAAAATTCGCCTGATATATCTATTTGAACTATAGTTCAAATTTCAAATAAAAATAATAAATGGTCATTCCCATGGGTGTCGTAAGAGACGATTAAGGAACTTAATAGTCGAGTAATAGGCAGCAGTCACCGTCTTAAAACACCACCAAAGCCTTACTGCAGTTACTAATCCGCTTGCCAAGCGTGGCAACTATTGGTAAAACCCTCCTTTTGGGTGAGGCCTATGTTTGGCAGTGGACAGTAGACGGTTGATATGAATGAATGAATAGTTTTGGTAATAGGTTACCACTTTGTATCTTGTTGGGCTATCAATTACCTGCATCACTTTTTATATATTTATTATAATATTATTATTGTAATTTACAGGGGTACATAGAAAATAGTCACGAGTAAATCCTGATTGAAGGTGCATCGAAATACGGACAAAGGTGTAAGTGGGTAGTGGTAACTATACATATAAAGGGGGTACAATTGATAGTACCTAATGGGGACGTTAGTCGTCAGTACTATTTACTTTGTCAGGTCGATTATTATGTGGCCCTCCTTGGAAACTATCGTGTTTAGTGTATTGCCCCACAATAGGTCAATTGATTTTATCCTTTCCGTGATTTCCGCTTTGCATTAGTGCCCTTATTGTATATCATTAACATAGGCGGATGTCTTCTCTATTTCACTCAAATGTAGAAATTATGTAGACATAGATATATGTACCTAATGTAATTCAATAGGGGGGAAAGGGATTGTTAGTAATGGAGACTGCGAATTCCATTGCTAGCAATGTACCCAACCAGGTCGACCTCCTCGCGGTTCCCCCTGGAAACTATCATGGTTAATTCCTGTTGAACTCATCATGATGGGCTAACTGGCCAGTTTTCATTCTCATCGATCAGCCTTCACTGGTGCTCCGCTAGCGTATCCCGTTAGCGCGGGTGGGGTTACCATTCCATTATCACAGATAAAAAAAAATGTAATTCAATATATTTATCATTCATTCACAATTCCTTTGTATTTTTTTAAGTTTGTTAGCTCATAACTCTGTCAGTTTTAAACCGATTTGGAAAACTGTTTTTGTCTGGAGGGAAGATGAGATTGGTCCTATAGAAATTTTATCAAAATTGGTTCAGAAGTTTACTTTTTAAATTAAAATTACTGGTTTTGCAGAATTTGTTTTTTTTTCTTTTTATCGTAGATGACAATATTATTTTTGTTTATATTGTTGCAATTTAAATCATTTCTGAAAATTATTGGATTAATGGGGAAAAACTTTAATAAGATCCATCACTAATAAATACACAGATGGACACGGCAGTATGACATTGCCTGTACTTCATAGAGATAGTATAAAATTTACATAAAAAGCACAAACAGCTGTAAATTATGTAAGTGTAACAATAAATGTAGGCAATTATATTTTCTCCTGTGTCCTTCCATCGATCTACCTCATTATCCTTGACCTTAATGACAATGGCGACAAATCACCGCTCGAACCATAAAAATTGGTTCCCTTCTAATGATGTTCACATGGAAACCATTCACAATGTACTATAGTTACTTTATTAGGTATCGGGGTGAAAGAGTCAAATCGATAAAATTACCGCAGTTTTGTTTTCAAGGAAATTATACACTGCCTGTGATTATTATACGCATAGTTACATCGGCTTGAACATTTTAAACATTTATCTAAGTGTATTAAACTGAATAGAAGGGGTTTCTTGCACCCGAAAATAGTTTGTTTAAAAAAAACATTGTAATACTTACGTTTATTTTTTATTGTCAATAATTGGCGGGAAATTCACCGCGTGTAAATCACAACACTACCTAATTGGTTCGTCACTATTATTGTAAGAGATTTTAACTAACATTTTTTAACATTAACATAAGAATTTATTTATTACTACAGACGATCAGTTGTGAACGAACGCCATTCATGAATTTCATGAGCATTGAAAACTAGAGGAATGTTTTACGCATGCGGCAATTACATGCGACGGTGGCGCACCTAGCGGATATAATTTATCTACTAAGTTTGAATAATTTGTTTATTTTCATTCACATTATTAGAATTTAGGTACTGGAATAATAAGTATTCGTGCTTACTTATGATTTTCTGAGTTAAATTAATACCTATATATATTTAAAAGTAGGTCTTTGTTAATCTAGGATGCCATCTGGTGTCAATTGTGATGAAATAGGTACACATAACACGTTGGAAATTTTAGTAGGTATCATCTAGTTCCTAGTTTCATGAAAAGATGGTGTTCCAAAATATTCTGGTAAAATCGAGAAACAGGTAAGAGTCATTGGCCTAGCTGAGAATTGATAACGCGACTTCTTTTAAGTAGCACTTCGTAAGTGTTACAAACAGTATAATATAAACTAAAGGAAAGAGAAATAGCTTGAAATTTGAGATTACACAAGGCTATTATTGAACAAATTAACGTGGACTAAAGTACTAGACCAAACCCTGTCTAGATTTCTTAGTCAATGAAAATGAAAACTAATGTATGGAAACTAGAAAATAATAGATATATATTAAGATGGCATGGTTAAATAAAAATAGTTTATTAAACATAAAATATTAGTAATTTTTTTTCATAATTATTCTTAATTTTTTTTATACAACATAGAATGGCAAACAAGCTGACGGCCCACCTGATGGAAAGTTGTAACTGTCGCCTATAGACATGAGCAGTAGCATGGACATAACAGAGTATACTGTTTCGTCCATGATACCCCCCATGTGTTGCCATTCATATTCATAAATTTACCCTTTCATTGGTTATTAGCTTCTACTCGCGATTTCGTCCGCGTGACCGGGATATGTTTATTGACCGGGATGAAAGTAGTCTATATTCTTTTCTATCTCATACAGTACGTGTATACTAGATTTCATATTGATAGGTAAAGCCGTTTAAACGCTATATGGTAACAAACAAACTCACTTTTATATTTATAATATAAATAAGGATTTACATAGTTCTACATATAGGTATGTATTTAACAAAATATATAAGTTAATTATAAGTACTCATACAATTTTCTAGCTTAGATTACATAGATAGAGCATAGAGTCTCAAAAACGGGTCAACTTTTTGTCAAATTAGCTCACTCGTTTTCTTTATCTGTGTTCTATATACTTACACATAAAATGTATCTTGACGTATTATTTAATAAATAAAATGAGTTTTAACGCATTAAAAAGGTGCAAAAATTATAAAACAAAGTAAATATAGATATTATAAAGGAAACATTCATAACTATTTATCACGTAAAATTGTATGAAAAAATTGACCCGCTTTTCTTGAAGCATTTGTATTAGAGACACTCTGTCTATATAATCTAAGAGTTTTAGATAAAGTGTCTTACATAGTTTCGGTTACCTACACTTAGGGGAACGGATATAACCCGGATCAAGGTTTTATACGGTCACTATTATTTATAGTTATTCTAACGTATATCTTATGTAATGCTGGCTGCAAGAGAAATAAAAGTAAGCCATATTCTGTCGTATATTCAATTTGCCAGCAAAAAGTAAAAGAAAATGTTGCATGCATAAAGAAAATACGAGGACCGACGAATGTGGTCTTTAGATGTTCGTTCTCATTAGGGTTGCTATATATATATATGTCTTTTACTGAATTACAAATGTTTGGGTAGTTCTTTGTGCATATTATTTTAAAATAAAAATTGTTTAGATTTATAGTGATCTGACCGTTGATAGATTGTCCACTGCTGAATATAAACCTCTCCTTTGCAGGGTCTTGCCAGTAGTTGCCATGTTTGGCAGGTAGATTGGCAACCGCAGTTAGGTTTCTGAGATGTTTTGAGAGGGACGCTGCCGAAGATATGGATTTAAATATATAAAATTTTCGAAAATAATATTCACTACAATAAAAGTAATGGTAATTAAAAATGGGCAAAAAGAAGATATCCAAAGCTGTAAAAAAAATTATGAAACATACCTTAATATTTATAAGCTATCTCATCATAATAAGTTAGTCAAGGGATTATAAATATGGAAATAGGACAAGAAAATCTTTCACACAATGGAATAACCACAACCCCCGTCCTAAAATCTGTCACGGTGAAATTGCCGCGTGTCCCTCAATGTCACCATTGCCGTCGACAAGACGTCCCCTGGCAATGTTCTGGGGAGGGTTTAAATTTTACCAGACCGTAATAGGTACCTCTGCACGATTTGTAAATAAACAAGCGAGTGGCAGCCTTACTGGAGCAAGCGTTGCATATAGAATGGTTATTTATGCAAATTGTGCCTTGTCACTCAAATAAAATAAATATTGTTGCATTTTTATTTTTATTGGATACCTACGAGTATTTGCTTTGAGCGAACTGGATCTGAAACATTTTTTTTTATACAACTTAGAATGGCAAACAAGCTGACGGCCCACCTGATGGAAAGTGGTAACCGTCGCCTATAGACATGAGCAGTACCATGGACATAACAGAGTATACTGTTTCGCCCATGAAACCCCCCATGCGTTGCCATTCCTGAGGAGTCAGGTGTTATTCCTCTGTACCCAGTAAATTCACGCCATATCCCACCCTTCAAACCGAACCACAGCCATGCAAACACAACTGCTTCACGGTTGAAACACGAATGGGACAGAGGTACCCAAGCAATCGACTTTTGATTAATTTACTCTGTTATATCCATGGTACTACTCATGTCTATAGGCGACGGTTATCACTTTTCATCAGGTGGGCCGTCAGATTGTTTGCCATTTTGAGTTACATAAAAAAAAAAAAAAGTCAGAATCGGTTCAGATTTGGCGAAGGCATTTCTACTAGGGTTAAACGATTTGTGCCACTTCCGCTTCCGCTCCAAATAAGACTTATCTAAACAATCTGTCGTTACTAAGTAATTACTTGCTTCATTACTAATTCATAGTTCATTAATATGGTAATTTAATTCGTATTCCATTTACGTATAATTCTCAGTTAAATAATGATGGTACATCAAAGTTATGAAGGATATTTAAATAGGCACTAGGAATAGTTGAATTGGTACTTTTAATGTGTATTCGTTGATTTTATTTCGTTTTATTTCAGTGTTGAGTCAGAATAGGTGAACAACAGAAGTGAAGAAACAATCTGTTGTTACTAAGTAATTACTTGCTTCATTACTAATTCATAGTTTTTTTTTTTGGTGGATGAAAATGGAATGGTAATCCCGCCTACGCTAACGGGATACGCTGGCGGAGCACCAGTGAAGGGTGATCGATGAGAATGAAAACAGGCCAGTTAGCCCATCATGATGAATTCACAGGAATTAATCATGATAGTTTCCAGGGGGAACCGCGAGGAGGTCGACCTGGTTGGGTATATTGATAGCAATGGGATTTTTAGTCTCCATTACTAACAATCCCTTTCCCCCCAACTAATTCATAGTTCATTAATATGGTAATTTAATTCGTGTTCCATTTACGTATAATTCACAGTTAAATAATGATGGTTCATCAAAATTATTAGGGTGGGTAGTATACAGGGTGTCCGGTAATGAATGGATAACCTTGAAACGTCTTATAGTTCAACTTATGGCCGCCCTAAAAAAAATACGAAACAAAATATATCATAAGTAGTACATTTGTTATCTTTATTTTAAAGAAAAGTCAATTTTTTTTCTATCTTATTTTACTGTCCTGATCACTATGACCAGAAATGAATGAATTCTATTGGTTTTTTGTTGTTTTATTATTATTATACATTAACTGTGCTGATAGAAAGTGAATAGTATGACTAGCTATTGCAGATTTTTTTTTAATACGCAAATTAATTTAAGCAAAGTTCAAACTTCTTGGGTATAAAAAAATGTATGAATAAATGGGTGACCAATAATTTAAAAAAAAGTCTGTTTCAATATATATATATATATATATATATATATATATATATATATATATATATATATATTGATGGTAAAAATGGTAACACAAGATGAGTACCATAGAGATCATTGACAACAGTTACCTCTTTCAATCAGATGAGCTGTCAACCGTCAACTTGCTTGTCATTTGAAGTATAATAAAAAAAAAGACAAAACATTTACATCATATTTTACGTTTATGGTGTTTATCTTCATCCTTTATTATCTGACTCTGTTTCAATATATATATATATGTACTGTATTGAAACAGATATATACCTGTATATAGTGATACAATTACAAATATGTTAAAAGTATGTTATCGAGAAAATAATATTAGATAACAGACTTAATATATATATAGTATAGATAACAGACAGAATATATTAAATTCGAAAATAGATATCCGACCGATATGGGCGATATCGAAATGGATGATGACCATTTTTCGGCTATTAATGTCCAGAGTAACCCAATATATAGATATAGGATCAGTATCCATATTATTCATGTCTACTGATTACCTCTAGCTATCAATTTATTATTTTTAAGATTAAGACTTCTTTAGTTAGTTTTTCTACTTTACTAAATGCCTATTTTAGGCATAAAATGACGTACAGGCAAGCGTATTTAGATATTTTTTTGCAATTGATCGGATTTATATTTTATTATTTAGTCTCAATTTAAATATGATAATGATTGTTGTAGTTTTTTTGTATTTTGTAATTAAAAAAAATATTTAACTATTTCATTTACGCTACATTTTTCTAAGAGACAAATCCTATCCTTAGAAAAAAAAGGCACAGTTTAGCTTCGCTGATGGCGCATTGCTCTGTGTACTATGAAGTTGATCCGACGAAGAGCTAGATTGCGAAACACAAGAATTTTTTTACTTTATGAACAGGGAATCGTGCTTGCATTGGTTTACCCATGTCGGTACCACTGGGGAATAGCTGAGGATCAATTGGTCCATCGTGATGAATTCACCAAGAATTAACCACGATAGGTTCCAGGGGAAATCTGTTCACAGGTTTTTTTAACCTAACAAACTATTGTTAGCAACGGGGTTGGTAGTTCTCCCATAACCGTGGTAGTAACCATTCACTCTCTCTCAGCTACAGGATTGATGTTGATCAGAGTCAGGTAATAAAGTATGAAGATAAACACCATAAACGTGAAATATAAATGTTTTAATTTTTTTTTTAATTATATTTCAAATGTCAAACAAGTTGACGGTTGACAGCTCATCTGATTGAAAGAGGTAACCGTTGTCTATGATCTCTATAGTACTCATCTTATGTTACTATTTTTATCATCAA